GTTCTGCCACTGACACAAAACTTTCATAAATCTCTATACTATTAGATTAAATTGATTTTGAGAGTATATTGATTTTGTGAAATTGACAAAAAAAGCTGGACTATTTATAACTTATCTATTAATCAAATAAGAAATTTATATTTCTTATTTGATTATTAGAACCTAGAATCCATTACTAGATCAAATATTTAAATAGTTGGTATTTTTCAGTAAATAAAATTTTGAAATGAAAACTCAAAATTTATATTTTTGCAATTAAAATTTAAAAAAAAATACAGTCAGTACATTTTTTTAAAACACAATCTCATTTTAAATTTTGAACCACAAGAATGGAGCATGAATAATTGATAACACTATTTTAACACAATTGTAACACAATTTTTGTTCCTGGCTTCTAAATGTTATATTTCAATTGCTTCTGTTTAAAGTATGTGTAAAAATGACTTTTTTAAGCACAAACTTTGCTTACACAACAACAGCAGGCTTGGACAGGAATGGTATGTGATCAGGAGCAATTGCTGACCATGCAAATTATTTTATTTTTTGACAACTTGAGCACCACTGTTTAGATGATTTTTAAAAATTTTAGAAATGCACTGAAAAATGAAATGCTAGCTAAGCTTAAACTAGAAAGAAAATTAAAAAAATATAATAATTGAAAAAGAAAACAATTCTTTATGAAAAAGAAAATATATCAGCACTAAAATAAAACTCAAAAAACTCAAACGAGAAGTGAAAATTACTTTTTTTTACAAATTTAATTGCATTTAAAATAAATTACTTAACAATTTTTCTTTTAAAACGTTTTATTAAAGTTACGCAAAACGCTTTTACAAATTACTTATAATGATTGTTTAATGGTTAAACAAATTTTATTTAAATTACTAAAAAGTGTTAAAATAGTATATATATATATATGTATATATATATATATATATATATATATATATATATATATATATATATATATATATATATATATATATATATATATATATATATATATATATATATATATATATATATTTATATATATATATATATATATATATATATATATATATATATATATATATATATATATATATATATATATATATATATATATATATATATATATATATATATATATATATATATATATATACAAATTGAATAAACATTTTTTTTTTACAAAAATAAATGTTTATTCAATTTATATATATAGACAAACATAGTCAGAAACCACTCAACAAAGTTCAGAAATGCATAGATTTTCTAGAATTATGATAGCACTGTGAATCACTTTCTCGAAGTAGCCTCAAAATGTAGTCACCCATCATGTGTTCGTTATACTATTCTTGGTAATGACGTTCAAAGTCCAATATATCTTCATGAAAGCGCTCGTCTTGCTCCTGGGAGTAAGCACCTATGTTCTTCTTGAATTTAAAGTCAGGTCAGGTTTATCCTTCTGCCGGAAACATGTAACCCAGTACAATCTGCTTCATGTCCTGCTGCCTTGTAGGATACGTCTTTTTAGGCAAAGGCTAGGAGATACCAACTCCAACATAAAACACTCCCTGCCTTGGGGCTCTTGGTTGAGTAAAGGCTAGAGATGGTGTCTCGATAAAAATCCTCATCTTGGGCAGATGTTAAATCCATCTATTAGGCTGGCGCAGATGTATTTTTAATACATTGTGTCCAGTTTAGGATGTTGAATGCTGGATCTTCTTGACTTGATGGGTTTTGCTTGTGTCTCTGTTTTTATGACTAGGCAACTCATTCTATAATTTCCTAATGAAGGTACAGCTCTAAAACTCAGGTTTATGGTTCTTAGGCCGGCTGGTAATCAGGTTTTCCAAGATCTGTGGTAACTCTCAGAGAGGCTGATTCCATCAACAGCTGAAAAATATCAAAGTATTAATAGTGCCATGTTGTGCATGGATGGTGTCCCTATTTTTACTTTTGGTGTGCGTTGCCAAGGCCACATTGGAGCCCTTTTTTTTTTTTTATTTGCATTTACTCCCAACAAGGCTGCAAGCAACCACTATTAAGTTAGGAGTTACTAGGAAAAAAAAAGAACAGAGTTATAGAGCAAGGAAACGGTTGACAGAAGACTTGAAAAGTTGAAGGTTGTATGAGTCAGGAAAACATGAAGATGGGAGAGAGTTCCAAAGGATTGAATTGCGGGGAAAAAAACTAGATGAATAAAAGTTTTTAGAGCATGCAGGGACAGATACAGTAAACGAATGAGACTTAGCTGAATGACGAGTAAAACGAGAATGAGTTTTAGTTGATGGAACCAGAGATGATAACTCCTTTGAGCAGTGACCATGATAGTATCTGCAGAAAAGAGAAAGAGATGCAACTTTACGACGATGGGAAAGAGGTTCAAGCTTAGCAGATAGTCCAGGTCCAACAACATTTACAATGCGTTTTTGGACCTTGTCAAGAAGAGAAAGTGAATCGTTAGAAGAACCAGCCCAAATATGACAACAGTATTCCATACAAGGACGAATAAGAGATTTGTAGAGGTAGAGAATGGAATCAGAAGTAAGAAAATGGCGAGCACGATAAAGAGAAGCAACCTTAGCAGAAGCTAATTTAGCAATCGATTGTATATATGGTTTCCATGAAAGGTCAGTAGTAAGCGATAATCCAAGAAAACGTAAAGAGGACGACTCAGTTAGAGGATTGCCATTCATTAATATAGGAATGTTGACCATTTTACGGTAGTTGTTTGCAGTAAGCAATTGGCCCTTTGTTACAGCTTAGTGTTAATTAATAGTAATGAGGCAATTGCTTGGGCTATAAAACAGTGTACTGAGTACTATCTATGTTTCAAGTCAAGTTCTTTAACAAATTTAAAAATGAATAAAGTAACAAAAACTATAATGCACAAAAAAACACTGTCATCACCAAGTTCGCTAAACCTATCATTCACTAATATTCGTGGTCTTCGAAGTAACTTTTCTTCTGTTGAGTCTTCTGTTGAGTCTTCGTAAAGACTCCAATGGTCACATGGCATTTACATTCGTAAGAATTCATCCATTTGTCAGGAAACTAGGTTTGAATCCACTCTTTTATGTGCTTTTGTTTAGCACTACTTCACTCTATTACCTTTCTCTTTTTTCTATATTGCTCTCTTTCATCTCAAGACTGCACTCTTCTTAATCTTATTTCTGATCATATTGACTAAGCCCTCTCTCTTTATCCATCAGCCAATATTGTTGTTGTTGGTGACTTTAATGTTCATCACACTGAATGGTTTGGCTCTAGAGTCAGTGACTCTGCAGGCATTAAAGCCCACAAGTTTTGCCTTTCTCAATCCCTAACTTAAATAGTCAACTTTCCGACTCGTTTTCCATACAAACCCAATCATTTACCTTCTCTACTCGACTTATGTCTTGTTTCTGATCCTAGTCAGTGCTCAGTTTCTCCACATTCACCCTTAGGTGCCTTTGATCACAGTTCTATCTCTTTAAAACTATTATCTTATTCTTCTTTTTTATTATCAGAATTAGGCTCTTATGACTTCTGGAGAATCTTTAATAGTATCAATAATAAGGGCAAGTCTGTAATTCCACCTCTTTTGTATGGTTCAGAATTTGTCATCTCACCTAAGGACAAAGCTGAATTGTTTGCTAAGAACTTTTCATTTGTATCATCTCTTGATTCCACTGTGTTCTACCTAATACAGCTGTCAAACAGGTTGATCCAATGCTTGACACTCGTATCACTTCAGCCTCTGTATCTAAAGTGATTTCCTGCTTAGTATCTTCTACAGCTTGTGGCCCGGACAACATACCTGGTATGGTCTTGCAGAAGTGTTCTCCGGAGCTGTCGTCTATCCTTTCAAAATTATTCAATAAGTGCTTGGCAGAGTCTTGTTTTCCAGCCTGCTGGAAAGCAGCATCTGTTATCCCTATTTTTAAAAATTTTGGAGAGCGATCTGATTCGTCTAACTACTGTCCCATTAGTCTTCTTCCTATCAAAAGTAAGGTTTTTGAATCTTTAATTAACAATCACTTAATCTCTCATCTTGAATCTAATAACCTACTTTCTGATTATCAATATGGATTTCGATCTTCTAGTTCTACGGCTGATTTGCTAACAGTAATAACCGATACGTTTTAAGACCATTGACATTTTTAAAGCATTTTATAAAGTTTAGCATAGTGGTCTTCTCCATAAACTTTCTTCTTAGACTGCCAACATTGTTGCAAAAGCACAGGCCATCACACTGGCTGAAGAAGTTGGAGAGTCTTTGATGCCACTTATCCATGACTTGTACTCTATCATCAACCAAATTCCATTGTTTGAGCCTTGATATCAGGCGCTCAGATTCAATTTCTTAAGTCCAAGGTCCCTAATTAAATTGTACATATCTTTCTGGTTATGGAAGTTCGGTTTTCTATCCCCAACTTCATCTGCAAATTTGTAGTCCATATGCTGGAGTATCTGTCTTTCTATCTGACATGCTGCTATCTCTTGAAGATGACCGATGCCACCTAGGAGGAGTTGCAACAGGCGGATTGGGGTTGTATGGTACTAAAGTGATGGAAAAAGGTATGTCCAGATAAAGATCTGAGGGGCATTTTTGCAGGTGCGACAATTTTTTTGGGTTTACCATGCAGAAGTAGCAGTTGCTTGAGTGGTCCAATGGCTCTTGCCAATTTTGCAAGATAGCAAATTTCATGACTTGCTTCTTTCCTCTGTACCAACCTGTAACATAGCACATAATAATATATAAGAATTGCAAGAATTTGAGAACAGGAAATTTCAAAAAATAGAACAATTTCAAGATGGAACATATTTGCCTAGAGTACAGACTTAGGACAAAACTTTGTAAATTACAATTCCTTGAAATGTACTAGATCTAAAGCATTACAATTTTATGAAAATAAATTAAAACACATCTAAGCAAGAAGCAACTTTTCAGTTTTCCTTTAAGTGTTTACATGTAAAACTTTAAGTATTTGCATGTAAAACAAAGTATGCCTTGTAGGTCTTACTCATTATATGACTCACTCGCTCAGTATATATGCTTTTACAGAATACTTTTTTGCTCTTGTCTTTATGAATTGTCCACAAATGTAGCGAAATGAATCAATTGGATGCAAACAACCTCTAGATATATCAAATAAATAACTTTTCTTTAACTATGAATTGTTATCCTTTCAGTCAGCAATAACTTGAATTAGAATCTTGGTTTGAGACACCTGTGCTTTTATACTTGTAGTATATACTTGTATATGCTTTTAGCTTTTGGAGTGTTCAAGAATGTTCTAAAAAGTTTTGAGAGTGTCTTGAAATTTCTGGAACTTTCTTGAATGTTCAAGAGTGTTCAGGGGAATTGTAGAAACATCTATACAACTCTTTCCAGCAAACATTCTATAGCAGAATTTCAGTGGACCTACATAAGCATTTTGAGCGGGCCGCTGTAGTTTTGCTCATCGGTCATTTAGTTGACCATTAGTGGCAGCCGCCAAAAGTGGCTAGTGGATGACTAGCCACTATTAACATATCGGAAAGTTATTGGCTTTCCATTTATAGCGGCTCCCACTAATGGTCCACTAAGTAACCAATAAGCAAAACTCCAATGAACCACAAAAAAATGTCTATATAGGTCCACTGCAAATCTACTAAAACAATGTTTGCTGCTTAAAAAAAGTTAGATTAGCTTAAAGTTAGTTAGCTATGGTATTACAGTTTATATTACTGTTTTTTCTGCAAGTATCTGATAAAATACAGTAAAGAACAAAGGGTGACACAAGAAATCATAATGGTGGAATGTAAAAGTGGGTAAAGTTGTATAAGAAAGAATACAATTTTATAAAATTTAGAAAAATCTTAAAAACAAAGAAGACATGCGTTACTTGGCTAAGTGTAAGGCTAAGCAAGATGTAAAGAGCCCTTGATTGTATATGCATAATTTTTTTTTCAAGATGCTACACTTAGAGTACAAAAGAAAAGCAGTGTTTAGAGTTTTAGAGTAAATGGTTAGCAAAATAGGAACGTTGTTAGAGCTTAGAGACAGAGTATCAAGAGAAGTTGTGTTAGTAGTCGGTATTGGCTTTGAAATTATTTATGGTGGAATGGAAGCAAAAAGGGTTAGTTTAAACATGAATAAAACAAATGCTGTGCATTGTAAAGTTAAAATTGAGTAGAAAATACTATAAAGTGGCGATAAAGAAAATACTATAAAGTAGTTTTGTTGAGTGAGTTGGAAAGGAGTTTGCAAATTTTTGTATTTTTTCTTTAGCCTTTAAGAACTATCTATTTTTTTACAGTCTTGTAGAAATGGTATCACAAAAGATGTAATAGTATGATTATGATAATAATAATGATGAAGATGATGATGATGATGATGATGATGATGATGATGATGATGATGATGATGATGATGATGATGATGATGATGATGATGGCGATGGCGATGGCGATGATGATGATGATGATGATGATGATGATGATGATTATGATGATGATGATGATGATGATGATGATGATGATGATGATGATGATGATGATGACAATGAATTTTTTTTAGAGGACAGTTGCCATTATTAACGAAGAATGTGAGCAGAAAATAATTAAATTGAGACAAGAAGAAAAGAAAGGTAAGCACATTCAAATAAAATGATAATATTTAAAACTAATTATATTTTTCATCGTCTGGCATTTGAAGAATTTACATGATATGATTATATTAAAGTTGTGTTAAATTATTAATTGTCTTGTCAGAATAGAATAAAAGATATGTAGATATGAAGTTTGTGAAAAGTAAAATTTAGTTTTTTCTAAAGATTTAATCATTTTGCAAGAAGAAAATGAAAGTTTAAAAAAGAAAATTTTGTTTTTTAAGTGAGTTATCTACTTTTTGATTTTGCAGTTTATTTGGTTTGTTTATTTGTTTGTTTTAGTTTCATAGATTTTTATTCTGCCTTTGCTTTTTTGTATAGTAAAGTTCAATAGTTTAATTAAATTAGGGAAGTTTATCAAATTTATTTAACATAGATTCATAAATTAACACTAACTGAAATTAAGAATTTTTGAAAAACTCTTGTTAAAATTTTCAGAAAATTTCAATACACAAAAAAGTAAATTTCTAGACATAGCGAACACTTTGTGAACTGTGTGAGTTTTGTGCTTTAAGTAAACTCTTATTCTAACCATGAGAATCGACAACTTTTGTGTGAACTCATCTTAAGTTTCAATAAATTAACAATAAAAGTTTAAATGTTATTTTAATAAATTGAAAGCAAGATGTTTATAGATATTTCATCTCATTAAGATAATTTTTCAAAAAAATATTTAATTGTTATCTTTTAATTATAAAAAAAGGTGAATATTGTTGAACTTTGTATAACAGTCAACCTTTAGTCATTTTTATATCATTGTAAGGTTGTTTTGCTTTCTCTATTTTTCAGGTACAATCACAGTTGATTTTCTAAAATGATTTTTATAGCTACTTAATTACAGATGGCTACTTAGTTACAGATGGCTACTTAATTGCAGATAATGTTTCTATTTAGTGTTGTCAGATTTTGATTTATTTGTTTACTTTTTTACTTTTCAAACTTTGAAACACTTTCTTTATTAGTTTTAAGTTACTTGTTTTTTACCACGCTGCTTCGGAATTTCAACTTTTCATTAATCAGTAAAGCTAAAGTCAATTGTAGTTTATTTGACTGATTCATATTAAAGTTTTTCTGATCTGTTAACCTTTTTTTCATTAACATTAGTTTTTATATTTAAATTGACATATAGGTGTTTATAAATGTTTTGGATCATTATACCTGTTGAAATATATTCACAAAGCATTATTTCTTTTCTGTGTGTCTGCATTGACTACAAAATAATGTGTTCTATCGATTATGTCATTGATTCAATGACTTGATAAAACTATGACATTTTTCCACCATGCGTAACAGTAAAGTATTCATGCGTAACAGTAAAGTATTCATGCGTAACAGTTAGCATTATGGATTCAAAGGTGTTTAACATACTAAATTCAATCAGATTTAAAAATCATAAAATTAGATTTAAAAATCATAAACTTAGATTTATTGCTCTGTAGTATAACTAATAGATTTTTAAATTATTTTTATTTTGCTTTGAATATAATTATTTTGCTTGTCGTGTAGAAAAAAGTATTAACAACCCTCGGAATCAGGAAAATTGAGGTTGGCAATAATCTGCCGACCTCAATCTTTTAAAGGTCAGCATCAGGTCGCCAAATACCATAAAGCATCAAAACGAGGTCGGCAAAACCGAATTTTTTTTGCCAACCGCAAACATGTTTAGGTCGGCAGCTAGGTTGGCATTGGCACTAATTCCACGGATTGTATTAAAATATAAAAAGTATATACATCACAATTTTAATGGATTATTTCCCTAACACAAATAAATAGTAAACCTCTGCATAGAATGGAAATATTTTAGCTAATAATAATGAATTAAATAAATAAACAAGATAATTTAATAAAATAACAAACTCAATAATATTAAGTTAAATAAACTGTTATATTTAAATTTTTTTATGTTTGATAAGTGTGAAAATGTTTATAGGTCTTTTAATTATTTATCTTTTTTTAGGCAAGAAATGGATTCCTTAAATTTTCAAGTAAAAAAGGTTTGTTATGCCTGAGTCACACTTTTTTTAAGTGTTGATCACCTTTTTTTGAGTCATGCCACACAACCAATGGTATTTTCAAAATAGCACACATAGAGTTAGTACTTTTAAAAGTCATCAATGATTTATATACCTTTAAAATTATTTAGAGCTATTATCCTTTTTTATTTTTAACCTTGACTTAATTCTTTTTATTGTTAAGTTTGTTTAAAAGGGTGGGGGGTCATTGTTTTTTTTTTAATTGTTTTAGTATTAAGAAAAGCTGCTTTTCTTTCTAAATTATGAAATTATGTAATAATACTACTTTTGAACATTTTTAAGCATTCATTTTTGTTACACTCATTTATCTTTGTTACACCAATTCATTTTTATTACAGTCATTCATCTTTGTTACACTCATTCAATTTTTTTATGCTCGTTCATTTTTTTTGCTCATTCATCTTTGTTTGTCTCGTTCATTTTTGTTATGCTCATTTATTTTTGTTACACTCATTTATATTTGTTACTCTCTTTCATTTTTCAGCTTCTATTTATATTTTTTTATAATTTAAACAAAGTGGTTATAAAATTAAAATTTTTTTAAACATGCCAGAACTGCTGTGTAATCTTGTGTTGTGGTAGGCTTGATGTTGATTTGCTCTATAATCTTGAAAATCCATATGCTATTGGATATCTGGAAAAATTAAAGCAAGATCCGTTAACAGAAGTGCAAACTTTATCGGAAAAATTAAAGTCAGAATCATCTATATGTCAAACAAAGCTGCAAGAGTTAAAAGTAGTTTTACCAAAATGAAAAAGAAATAACAAGAGTTATTAGACAAACATTCCAACTAAGTCAGCATTATTGCAGATTGTTTTAGTTGCTTCTGATGAGTTGTCTGCTGATGATTTAAATCAACTTAACATGACAATTAACAAAACATTTGTTGCTGACAGCAATGTAATCTGCAACAATAATTTTAGTAAAAAAAAAAATAAGTTTGATAAGGAGCAGCACAATGTTTCAGCAGAAATAAGAGAATATAGACACATAGATGAAGTAAACGAAAAAATAAAAAGCTATACAAAAATATTAGTTGCAAATATAGCTTAATAATAAAAAAAAAATGCATAATACAGTCATACCCAACATAATTGATGATGAGCCATAAAAAGTCTCTTCAAATTTAAGAGTCTCTTCATTCCACTAATTGGAAATAGTAAACCGTTTTGAGTAACATGATCAGAAATTGAACCTGATAAAAATTTCAGTTAGTATTTATATTTAATGTGATCTGGACATATGCATAGTAGTTATTACTCCAAGAGGCTATAATACATTTAATTCCTTTGAACAGAGAAAGGTTCTTCTATCTCATTGATAGGAGAACTTTTCTCTGTTCAAAAGTGTTGAACAGAAAAAAAATTAATTCCTTTAAACAGAAAATCTTTTCAATATTTGTAGTTAAGTTCTTCTTCATTAACATTTTAGTTTGCATATGCAAGTAGATAGTAATAGATAAAGATATGAGAAATATCCAGCTTGAATAAATTAATTCCACATCCATGCTTGTTTGATTTGTGTTGCTTATCTGTTGCCATACTGCATATAGAAAAAAATGTATATTTCTTTACAGTTTTTGCTAATTACTTTTGCAAATGTCAAAAACAAAATAGTGCAGTAATCATTTCAAATAAATAACTTGATAAAGAAGCTGATGAAGCTGATGAAGTTTCAAGCACTTTAACATCTTCATTTAAAGATTTATGTTTTACAATTTGCTTAAACAATAGCTGTTTGATTAAAATGCTTAAATTTTTTGTTGTGTCACCTGTATATCAACGTAGTAGTATTTTTTTGGGTACTTAAAGATTCACAATCACTTAATATTGATGTTGAAAGCAAAAAATTACTTTAAAATATTTTCCTGCTTTTTATAATTTTTGTAAAAATTTTCAAAAGCAGAAAAAAAAGTTTTATTGCACAATTTACAAATATGTCTAAAACAAATCATTTAACCATCCAACTTAGCAACTAAGCATCCAACTAAACTTTTTAAATATATGTAATAGGTCATGATTTTTTTATGACCTATTAGTTTTAAACAATACTAATAGATCATAAAATAAATATAAATAAAGGTTGATTAACAAAAAGTTTAACACTTTTATTTTATAAAAATAGCTCCTTTTTAATAACTTTTTTTCCTAATAATTTTCAATAATGTTTTAAGTGAAATTCCAATAAGTGAAGGTCTAGAAATTGTCACATAATTAGAATAAGGAATGGAGGGTTAGTAATTTAGTGACAATTTGTTACAAGGAGAGGAGTATTCAATTTTGTGATGCCGTGTTTTTTTTTTAAGTTTCAAATCTAGAAAAACCTTTCTTTTGATTACTAGAGTCAAACAAAAACCCTCAGTTAATGTATGTACATTCAACTGAGGATATTTTTCTGTTAGGTCACTGTTAATTTGTACATGAAACTATAATTTATAAGTTATTTTAAATGAAAATATAGTTGTGCAAAAAATAATTTATGTACACTCCACTCCCCTTATACTTAAGTAAGTTGAGGTATGTAATGACACTGTGACTAGGGCATTTTATGTATGTATTGATGTTATTTTATGTATGTATTGATGCACTTATTCTGTAAAACTCTTCTTTTTAAGCTTTGTAAGCAAGAAGTTTCCAAAAGAAAGAAAGTTCTCTTAAAGTTTTCTTAAAAAAAAGTTTAAGGTTTCTTTAAGTAGGTTTTAACTTTATTATAACTATTAAAACATTAAGTTTGAAATAAAATACAAATTTTAGTGTCAAGAGGATATTGCCATTCAATATGAAAAGTTCAGGGAAGAAAGTGATGCAAGGTAAAAAATATACTATTCATACTGTTTAACTTGATACCATATATATATACATATATATGTATATATATATATATATATATATATATATATATATATATATATATATATATATATATATATATATATATATATATATATATATATATATAAAACCCTAAGAATTAGGAATAATGTTTCCTAATTCCAATTTTTTAGAGATCGGCATCAGGTCAGCAAATACAAAGGTCTTTCCATAAAACATCGAAACAAGGTTGGCAAAACCGAAATTTTTTTGCCGACCGCAAACACGTTTAGGTCTGCAATTAGGTCGGCATTGCCAAATGCTGACCCTAATTCCGAGGGTTGCATATATATATATATATATATATATATATATATATATATATATATTTATATATATATATATATATATATATATATGTATATATATATATATATATATATATATATATATATATATATATATATATATATATATATATATATATATATATATATATATATGTATATATATACATATATATATAAATAGATATATATAGATATGTATACATACATATATATACATATATATATATACATATATATATATATACATATATATATAAGTATATATATATATATATACATATATATATATATATATATACATATATGTATATATATATATATATATATATATATACATATATATATATACATATATATATATATATATATATATATATATATATATACATATATATATATATATATATATATATATATATATATATATATATATATATATATATATATATATATATATATATACATATATGTATCAAGTTTTTTAGGGAAAGGCGTGCGGTTGCACACCTTGTATGTTTCCGCTTAAAGTAATTTTCTTAGACAACTTGACCATGTTTTTACATAGTAAGCATTTTAATAATTCGCAGCAAAATAAAGCTATAAGAAACTAGTGAGTAAATCAGCAATACTTGAAGAAAAAAACCTACTATACAAAATAGAAAATCTTAATAAAATAAGTTTAAAAAATTTGTCAATAAGAAAAAGAAAACTATTGTCAAAAACATAATATAACTAAATATTTACTGCTTTTTTCTTATTTTTAGAGCTTTTGTTATTTTCCACTACCATAAATAATACAAGTCGAGGAAAAAAGTAGATAAGAATATATCAAAAAAATATATTTTTTTGGATATACATTTTTTTTTGCAACTTTTTTCAGTCAGTATATTAAGGAAATACTTTATAAATTACACTAGAAACATGGAAAATTTTAAGTTTGTTTTTCAAATGTCTTTGCTAGACTTTACTGTTTTTATTAATGCACAGAAAAGCAAGAAAACTAATTGCTATTTATTTGTGAAAAAAAAAAAAATTTTAACAATTTTTTTAATGTAAAAAAATGAAACGATGCTGCAAATTTTGTGGGCTAGTGCATTGTTAATTTACTGAACTTTCTTAACGAACTTTTTAGTAGCCTATTTAAAACTTTTGTTTAAGTTTTTAAATACATTTTTTTAAACAGAGCAATCGTTATGTTCATTATCTCTAGTAACTCGTATTAACATTGAAAATTGGGCATTATAATAGAAACAACTTCATACATGCATCAAATGCGGTAAATACATTTATTAAACAAACTGTATTATTCTTTTATTTAACTTATTACATCATTAACAAAATTCATTATTCAAAAAATATTATTTACAAATAAGTAACAATCTATTTTCTTATTTTCCTATTATATAAGTATTGAGAAAAAACCTCTAATATAGCAAAACTTTTTTAAAAGCAAAATGATGTAAAAATGAAAAAACAAAATAAAATTTCTTATAGTTCTAGCGTACATAGCTAGATTTATAAAGTACATAATTAGTTTCTTTATTATATGGACTGATAAAAATCGTGAATAAATGGCATATCAAAACTTTAAAACGTTATAAAAGATAATCTTTTAATATAAAATCTTTTTTTCAACGATTCTAAAAAAAGGAAAATAAAAGTTGTATAAAATTTTTATAAAAAAAAATATTTTTTTTATTTTATTTTTTTAATCAATAAATTTTCTAGTATATTTACTTAAACTTGATATTTTTTTACAACTTTGTTTCCTTATTTAAGAATTGTTTTTTTTTTCTAAGTAAATAAGTTTAGCTTTTTCTGCAAATTATTGAAATGCTTTATAAGTTAATAGATGCGTTTAGATAGATAACTTTATAAGTTAATAGATGGTCAGTGTGTCTAAAAAAACTACTTTAGGCGTGGATGTACAAGGTGTGCAACCACATGCTTTTTCTGGGAAGGCTTGATATATATATATATATATATATATATATATATATATATATATATATATATATATATATATATATATATATATATATATATATATATATACATATATATATATATATATATCATATATATATATATATACATATATATATATATATATATTGATTTCAATAAAAAAAGGCAGTGTATAACTATTTTTTTAACATATTTTGATATAATAGTATATTAACAATATTTTGCTGACCTATTGTGGTCAGTGTCATCAGGTAATGAAAAAAATATTATAAAATAACATAAAACCAACCGTTTAAAAAAGAAGACATTAAAAAGCGTAAATTATAAAAACCAATCAAATAATGTAAAAGTGACGTCAGTTAATTTTTTGTCAAAGTTGGTCCTCAAGTTTTTGTTTTCACATAATCTCCATTATCTCTATTTAGAACAGTTTGCCCAATACCTATCTCGTGTCGAACTCTATCTTTATTTATCTTCAAATAAAGCAAGAGTTCGACATGAGAAACACACTCACACACATATGTGTGTGTTTGTGTGTGAGTGTGTGTGTGTACTTTACTAATATATTAAAATAAAGTTTTTAAACTAATGTAATTTTCAGAATACCAAACTATAATATTTCTAACTGTATAAAGTAACTATAATATTTCTAACTGTAGGTACTTTTATAGACAGAAAGGTAATATGTGGTTACTAAAAATCCGGACAAAGTCTTTTCAATCATAGAAATATCAAGAAATAATTGAATATACTTGCAACCACTTCAATTTAGTTGCAAGTTTATCACTTAATATGTATTAATAACTTTTTTTTATTTAGTTATATTTAAAAATGAAAAATAAGTTTATGACAAAGATTCACTTAGAAAACAAGTGTATGGACTTTTGGATTTGCATCCAAATGAGAAAAAAAACTTCATTGTAAATCTTTTTCCAAACTAAAAGATACTTAAAAGAAAGGACAGCAAAATTAATATCAAAAAAAAAGTTGAAAATATTCGCAATGCAAATAAAGCACTAGTTTTCGATATCATTAAAAAAATAAAACACTTAAAAGAACACAGGCACAAAGGAGCTGCTGTTTATTTAAAATGCTGTAGATTAGTTTTGATTTTTTTGAAAAAATAGTTATTGACAATAAATTGTACTTTTATTTAAGTAACAACAGTAGTCCTGTAAACGACTCTGTTCTTCTGACAATAATGCACCATTAAATGAGGTTAATGAGAAAAGACAAATTCAAGCCAAAATTACATATTTAGATTGCATTCTTGAAAAAAAGAATTTTCCAGCATTACATAGCTTTGTCAGGCCAAGCAGTCAATGAAAATGTGTATATTTCAAAATGTCTTGTCATATTAGAGAAATTCATTTAAAAATATCATAAAAAATGACAGTATAATTTTCTGGTCTGATCTTGATTTGTCACATTATTCACATAAAGATAAGATCTGAAATCAAAAAATATTGAGTTTGTACCAAAAGTGCATAATCCTGCTAATGTGCTAGAATTACAATCTTTTGCAGATTTTTTTGTCTGAACATAAAAGATTAGTTTACAACAAAAAATGGCTGAAATAATCTAAAAATCTAGATAAACTAGATGAATGAAGTTTTATATCAAAAAAATTGATCTAAAATGTGTAGATGGGCTAGCTGCCACAAAATTTTATAGAGTAGACACTGTTTGTTGTCTCGGCATGTGAACAGTGAAAAACTTATAATTTAATTTATTTTGTTATTTTAATCTTTTTGCTTTTATACTTTTGAATTAATAAAGTTGATCATACCATTAAAAAGTTATTTATAATGGAATGAGATTTTTAATTATCATATGTTACAAAGCTCAGTTATTAAAAGATAAGTGTAAAAAAAAAAAAAAAATTAGAATTTCCAGAACCCTTGCTGTATTTTTGTAGTATATGAAAGGACAGGTTCCTTGCTGTATTGTTGTGGTATATAAAAGTTCAGAATCCTTGTTGTATTGTTGTGGTAAATGAAAGTTCAGAATCCTTGCTGTATTGTTGTGGTATATGAAAGTTCAGAATCCTTGCTGTATTGTTGTGGTTTATGAAAGGACAGGGTTGTTAAAATTATAAAACAGCAATTTAACCATGGCAATTTTACATTTTAACTACCAGAAATTAAATCATATCTGTCATTATATTTTGAATCTTACAAATTAGTCATATTGTAGTTGTGATCTATTTATATTTAATCAAAGTAATTAAGGCGAAGCAATTTTTACAGAAAAAATGAATAATTCAATTAATTTAAAATTAAAAAGTTTTTAAACTTATTACAAAGTTTCTTAAACTTTATGTTTTATCCTATCAATACAAAAAACTTTGCAAATAATCTTCACAAGTTTTGTTTGTATGAAGCAACCAAGCTTGTTGCTGATATTGACATTGTCTCCATAGACTTAAGTTTTTTTGTCATAATCTTTATTTTATCACCTGCCATTGCCCATTGTCTCCATAATCAATGTGGTTATCAATAACCAATATCTCCATAATCAATGTGGTTTATCTTAAACTTGTTGCATGGGTTATATATTAATTGTACTACTCATTATCTCAATTTGTTATTGATGGTGTTTACCAAAAATAGAAAAATTGTCACTAAACAAAAAGCGCTATAGTCTTTTTTGAAGTCAAATTTCTCGGTTTGTAGCAATTTGTTCATGAACCCACTTGTACAAACAATATTTCTTTTGTTTTGATCTTGTATTTTAAAATAATTATTCTCTGTTTTGTCTTATTTTTTTAGAGTGTCCTCTACATAAGTAAGACTAAACAGGGAAATTTTTTTTATGATTTCTGTGATACTGATATTTATTTCAGTCTTAAAATATCAAGTGAACTTAGAGTTTTCCTGTATTTTTACTGTTGCAGATTATTTGTAAAAACATTTTCTTTAATCAGTTTTGCAATAGTATTGTTCAATATGTTTCTTTTAGAAACTTTTTAAATAATGATAATTTTTTATTATCATTATTTTTATCTATCAAAGGAAAGATAAAAATAATGATAATAAGATAAATTCTTTCAAAGTTTTTTCAAAGTTATATACTTTATTATTAACATAATTAAAAAATTTGTCAATATTATTTTCTTTAATTATCTTAAGCTTAAATCTCATTTTGTGAGTAAGTGTAGCTTCTTTGAATTTGTATTTACTAATGTATTTATTTTATTTACTAGTGTATTTATTGTATTTACTAGTGTATTTATTGTATGCTGTGTTGTGTGAAATGCTTATAGTAATCAATGATTTTTTCCATAAGAATGCTTTAGGGTTTAACGTTTTTTGCTATAAATTTTGGGTAGTGATTTCTTTATTTAAAAATTTTCTAATAGAAATATATTGAACAATATAAATTATAGTAACCAAAAACTTGCAGCAAACATATTGAATAATATAAATTATAGTAACCAAAAACTTGCAGCGTTTAACAATCACTTTGGAATTATTTTTACAAATGAAAACAATTGTTCTCCACTTCTTAATAGTTATGTAAATGATTGAATAAGTATTAAAACTGCAAATTTTTCACCAAAAGCAATTTATAAATCTTTAATGAAAATTAAAGCTAGCATATTGCAAGCTTTTGATAGTATACTTATTATTCTCCGAAAAAATTAGCTCATTTGTTGTGTATTTTATTTTCATTTTTATTTGAAACAACATTAAAATACAACAGATATCAAAAGATTAAGGAGTGGAATAAATTAGAAAAAGTTAATGAATAAATTTTATCACAGAATTTTTATGAGGTTCTGAATATGTGAGTATGGCAAGACCATAAAATTGAATTTAATAGGAAACTGAAACTAATATTTATAAATAAAGCATTAACCATGATTGGTTAAAATTTAAATGATTTTAATTTAAATTTTCTCAAAAACTACTTATATCTGTCCCTGTATGGAACGCTGTTGCCACATTTGGGCTGGTTTTTTTAATAACGCTCTTTCCCATCTAGACTAAAACAAAAAGCTCCTGAAAATGTAATTGGACTCTAACAGCTAAGCTTGACTCTATATCCCAATGTCATAATGTTGCATCTCTTACTATCCTTTTGTCATAATGTTGCATCTCTCACTATCCTATTGTCATAAGGTTGCATCTCTCTCCTATTTTCAAAAGGTTGTATCTCTCTCCTATTGTCATAATGTTGCATCTCTCACTATCCTATTGTCATAAGATTGCATCTCTCACTATCCTATTGTCATAAGGTTGCATTTCTCACTATCCTATTGTCATAAGGTTGCATTTCTCACAATCCTATTGCCATAAGGTTGCATCTCTCACTATCCTATTTTCATAAGGTTGCATCTCATAATGTTGCATCTCTCACTCTTTTTTACAAATACTATCATGGTCACTGCTGAAGCAATCATCTTTTGCTCCATTTGCTAAAACTCAATCTTGCATAACTCTTCATTCAACAAGTTGTTTTATCCTTTTTTTGTAGTTGTTTGTTCATGCTTGAATAATTTGTACTCTTTATGCTTTAGAATTCTCTCCTCTCTTCATGTTTTCTTGACTTAAAAAATTGTAAAATTTTATTGGATAAGGAAAGTAAAAATTTCCACCAATCATGGTGATGTTATAAAAAATACTGCATTAACAACTTTTTTATTAAGTTAATATTCAGTTAATATGATCAAAACGACTTTTTCAATTCAACATGAAATGTTTAAGGTTTTAAAAATCAGAAATTAAAATAATTAGAATATTTTGTCTATAGTTCTTAATCTTTTATTTTATTTTATAATGATTAATGATTTTTTGGATTTGAATCTATTTTTTTTATTTTAAGTTAAAAAATAAATAAAAAATCTTTGTGAATTTTTGGTGAGATTTTTTTTTTACAGAAAAGTAATTTTTATTCAAAGAAATCTCTTAGAGATCTTAAGATATATTCTTTGTTTTTAACTTTTCAGAAATTCTAAAAAAACAAAAATAAGTTGTGAAGGTCTTACAACAGTCTGGTGAAAGTCAAACAATAATTAATTATCAATTCAAGTTCTATTATTTCAAACTATTACTATACATTTTTCCCACTATAAACACTTTCATACTTTCATTAAACTTTCTTCACTATGAACACTTTTATTAAACAGACTTTTTATTAGTTTTAATTTGTTTCAGTTTTAATGATAAAGCATTAATTTATACCTATGTTATAAGATGTAAAAAAAATCATCTTTTATATAATAATTAGCTAATACAGTATTCAATTAACAATAACAATGTAATAATTATTTTCTTAAATAAAATGTTTAAATTAAAATGTTTAATTTAAATTTTAAATAAAATTTCAAAATTTTATACTGATTGTTATTGTTTTATTTTATGTATCGAGGTGAGATTGAGTATTTGTGATTGTGAGATTGTGTATTTGGTAGAATTTAGTAAAATTTTACCAAAGAATTATGCTTTACTAAAAAAAAAAAAAATTTATTTAGAAAACTTTTAATCCAAGATCTTAACGACTTAATGGAAAGAAAAGATAGCAGAAGTTTTTCCTTTGATGGAGTTAGTGCAGATGATGAGCAAGTGAATGATCCAGTAGTTTTAAGAATCGCGTTAAGGTATCTCCTTTTTGTTTACAAAAATGGCAAAAAAAATTTTGTTACCTAAAAAAAAAATTCTTGTTTTAAATTTTTAATAATAAACTGTAAAATATTTGTGTACATAGACATGTTTAACTTGTTTTACCTGTTTTAATTGTCTCACAATTGTACTTAGTCGTGTCAGAGAAGACTTTAACAAAAACACACAAAAGTTGGCAGAAGTACTTGCAAGTTATGGTGATGTAGTCCCTAGAAGAGATTTTGAAAAGCTAGAAGTCCAATATAAAGTATACTTTGATTTATGTTTTTTTTTTGTTGTTTGATTTCAGTTCCATTTTTTTGTTTGATTTCAATTCTGCTTGTTGATAATTTCAGTTCTGTTTTTTTGTTATTTTCAGTGCTGTTTTTTTTTTATATTTCAGTACTTATTTTATTTTTAATTTTGGTTCGCTTTTTTTAATTTGAGTTCTATTTTATTGCTGATTTCAATTTTGAAACTTTTAAAATGAACATGAATTATACTTGTAAAATTGCTTAAAAAAAGTACATTCTTATTATAACATTAAATAATATAACTGTATAATTTTGAGCTTCAAATAATTAGTTTTATTTTCATATTGTGTAATTTTATAACTTTTTACTTATCTGATAATAAAATGATTTGATTCCATGTACCCATACCCTATTGATTTCTTGTGCCCATGCCCCTATTTATTTAGATTAAATAACATCACAGTCTTCAATATAAAATAACAAACTTTTAACTATGATTTGTTTTAATCTTGAGTTTTGTAAAATATATTCCACAATTCCTATTTTATTTTTGTATAAACAATTTTCTTTTAAATAAGAAAATAGTATGTTTTGCTTTTGTCTACTATTAAAACTACAAAAAAATCTACTGATTAAAAAGTCTTTTGAACTTATTTGCTATTTTCAGACTTCCTTTGTTGAAAAGTTGTTATTTTTTAATCTTTTGAACTTTTGTTTATAAAAATACTTTATAAAAAAAAGTTTATAAATATATAATTTATAAAATTTATAAAAGCATAGTTTTTAATGAAATACAAGCATAATATTTAGGTGCATAAATTATGCAACACTAAATTTAGCTAATAAAATAAAATATCAAAAGTCTTCCCTTACAAAGTATTTATTTAAACCCAATATTCAAAAGTGCTTTAAATTCAATGAAAACCAATGCCAAAAATTTCATTCGTCAATTTAAGAAATAAGCTTCTTTTTTTTTTTAAAAGATTAACAATTTTTATTTGTAAGATTTAATAATTATGATAATAAGTAATTTTTTTTTCTTAAAGCATCATTAACATTTTGAGGTAGCTAAAAAAAACTACCTTTACTGATTACTCATAAAATATTTGCAGATAACAAAAATAGGTTGTTGCCAAGCAAAATAAAGGTATTCATAGCAATGAAATAAAAAAATATTTCCTTCATAAAAAGTGTAGGCATCATATTAGTACTCATGCTAATTTTAGTGAATATAGCTCTAATATAAAATTGGTTATGAATTTTGTCCAGTAAAAGTGAATTCTGGCCCACTGTGCACAAGCTGTAGAAGATTCTAAGCAGAAAATCACTTAAAATACAGAAGCTGAAGTGATAAGAATGCCAAGCAAAGGATCAACCTGTTTGTCAGCTATAGCGCTATAATATGTCAAGTAGAACGCGATTAGAGGAATCTAGAGATAGTGTTGATGAGAAATTCTTAGCAAACAATTCATTTTTGTCTTTAGGTGAGGTGACAATATTTGAACCATACAAGAGAGGTGGAATAACAGATTTGTCCTAATTATAGATGCTGTTAAGGATTCTCCAGAAGTCACAACAGCCTAATTTTTGAGATGAAATACAACATTTTGTATTCTGAGAATAGCGGGCTTTTGGAATTTTTTTTCAATGGTTTCTAGCAATAGTAAATAGACATCTTTTTTTTGGAGAATAGTTTTGCTGATAGATATGAAAGTAATTGTTACAATTGGAAATTACAGCAGCACAATGAGAGGAAAAACATGGAGAGAAGTTGAAAAAACAAGAGTGAAGCTTGACTTGGAATTGTCAAGAGGGAATAAAAGATTCCATGCCAGTCTGAATCCAAGAAATTACATAAGAAGCACATTTTTCAGCAGAAAGACAAAAGATATCTACCCAAGGGCCATTGCGAAGAAAATCACAGAAAGAGTCCCAGTCAGCTTTAAGGTAGTTGTAAGAGGTATAATGATAAGGTGATTTTGATGATGAAGAAGAATGAGATAAAAGTTTTCAAACTGCAATCAGAAGCACCTAATGGTAATGAAACTAAGCAATGATTTGGATTAGAAACAAGACATAAGTTGAGTAGTGAAGGTAAATAATTTGGATTATGTAGAAAGCGAGTTGGATAGTTGACTTTTTGTGTTTGAGATTAAAAAAGGCAAAAGTTTGATGGCTTTAATTCCTGCAGAGTCACTGACACTAGAGCCAAACCATTCAGTGTGATGAGTATTAAAGTCACCTCCAACAACAATATTGGCTGAAGGATAAAGAGAAAGGGCTTGGTCAATTTGATCAGAAATAACATCAATTAGAGTGCAGTCTTGATATAAAGGAGAGCGATATAAAACAAAGAGATATATAGCTATAGAGTTATTGTTAGTGATGCTAAAGGAGATAGAGGCTATAGAGTGAAGTGATGCTAAAGGAAAGCACATAAAATAATAGTTTGGGCGAATTCTTAGGAATGTAAATGTCCATGCCAAGCATGTGACTATTGGAGTCTTTATGAATTAAATGAAGGTATCCATCAACACTTAGATCATAAAATGAGATAGCTGAACTCAAATTAGTCTCACAAAGAGCAAGTAGGTCTGGTGAACTTTGCAAGAGATAAGACTTAACAAAAGAAAAGTCATTTCAAAGACCATAAATATTAGCGAATGATAGATTTAGAGAATTTGATGATGAAAATGGTTTTTTGTGTTTTATAGTTTTTGGTGCTTTAGTTTAGTTTTTGTTAAAGAACTTGACTTAAAGCACAGATAGTACTCAATACACTATTTAATAATCCAAACAATTGCTTCATTACTATTAATAAACCCTGAGCCATAACAACGGATTCAAATGTGGCCTCGACAATGCACACCAAAAGTGTGAACAGGAATACCATCCATGCGCAACATGGCACTGTTAGTTCTCTGATATTTTACAGCTGTTGATGGAATCAGCCATTTTTAATGTAACTATTAACATTTATAATAAAAATGCTTATAATTTTTGCTTTTGTTTTTTCATTTTTAAAAAAATAAATCAAATAATCTTAACATAGAAAAATGGACTCCAAGATTGATCAGTAAGTCACTAATGTATAATTTCTCTAATGTCAACCTTTTGTAAAATTTTATACACATGGTTATACTTAAGACAGTTTATCCAATTAGTTTCCAAGAATTTAGCTTTATCTTTGAATTTAAATTTAAAGTTAACAAAGTGTATTTGGAAGCCATGAACTTATTTTACTTGGTTGTATGCCTTTTAGAATAGTAACCAAGGTTACTAATGTAACCTTGTAATGTTAATTTCTTTTCTTTTTTTTTTTAGGAGTTAGAAGTCAGTTTTGACATGTTAAAAAAGGATTATGCTTTATTGTTATCAGAAAATAAGTATTTTTTCATTTTTCTTTGTCTTCTTTGTTTTTGCATTTTTTTTAAATCAATCAAAAGTTTCTCACATATGAATTTGATTTGCTATTTGTTTTACTGCAGATTTTTTTTTCAGGATTCTTACAGCTGTGCACGAAAAAGATACTGATCTCCATATACAATATGATACTTTACATGAGAAAGCAACACCTAGGTTGTTTAATATTAAGTTATCTTTATTGTTTAAAAATACAGTAGTGCGCAAAAATTTATAAGCAGCTAAAAAGTTTTTTTGCTATAACTTTTTGTCTTTACTAAAAACAAATGAAATTTTATCAATTGCTCCACTAACGTGACAGGAACATCATAAAAAAAATAAAAAATAATATTGCCAGTGGCTAAGAAAACTTGGCTTTAAAAATGGCTTATTGTACAGAGTTACTGATTATGGAAAACTTGGAAAAACCAAATGGTTTTTGATAAAAATCACTTTTGCCTTTTCACTGGGAATAAATAAAAATATTATCAATTGTCTCTCTAATGTGACTACATAAAATAACTACCTTAAAAAAAATAGTTATTTGTAACAGAAAGAAGAAATTTAAAATTGGTTGAAAACATAAATGCAAAAAGTTTTTAAAATAATGAAAAAATTCAAGATACTGGTTATAATTCTTTTAATATTTTTTTATTACATTCCTCCCAACAAGGCTGCAAGCAACCACTATTAAGTTGGGAGTTACTAGGAAAAAAAAAGAACAGAGTTATAGAGCAAGGAAACGGTTGACAGAAGACTTGAAAAGTTGAAGGTTGTATGAGTCAGGAAAACATGAAGATGGGAGAGAGTTCCAAAGGATTGAATTGCGGGGAAAAAAACTAGATGAATAAAAGTTTTTAGAGCATGCAGGGACAGATACAGTAAACGAATGAGACTTAGCTGAATGACGAGTAAAACGAGAATAAATTTTAGTTGATGGAACTAGAGATGATAACTCCTTTGAGCAGTGACCATGATAGTATCTGTAGAAAAGAGAAAGAGATACAACTTTACGACGATGGGAAAGAGGTTCAAGCTTAGCAGATAGTCCAGGTCCAACAACATTTACAATGGGTTTTTGGACCTTGTCAAGAAGAGAAAGTGAATCGTTAGAAGAACCAGCCCAAATATGACAACAGTATTCCATACAGGGACGAATAAGAGATTTGTAGAGGTAGAGAATGGAATCAGAAGTAAGAAAATGGCGAGCACGATAAAGAGAAGCAACCTTAGCAGAAGCCAATTTAGCAATCGATTGTATATATGGTTTCCATGAAAGGTCAGTAGTAAGCGATAATCCAAGAAGACATAAAGAGGATGACTCAGTAAGAGGATTGCCATTCATTAATATAGGAATGTTGACCATATTACGGTAGTTGTTTGCAGTAAGCAACTGGGTTTTTTTAGAGTTGAAATTCACAAGCCACTGTGAACCCCAATCTATTACTGAAGTGTGATCGGATTCAAGATCAGCTGCTTGTTCTAGGCGATCGAAAAGAGAAGACTTTTTGTCAAGACAGGAGTATAAAGTTGAGTCATCAGCAAAAAGAGCTACTTTAGATGAAAGGTTGTCAGGAAGATCGTTTATGTAGATAAGAAACAAAACAGGGCCCAGGATGGAACCTTGGGGAACCCCAGAAGTTACTGGAAATAAAGAAGAGTGTTGGCCTTCAAGGATGACTTTAATAAACCGGTTAGAAAGAAATGATTTGATAATCTCAAAAACTTTCCCAGAAACACCATATGAAGCAAGCTTATGGAGAAGACCAGCATGCCAAACTTTGTCGAAAGCTTTAGATATGTCGAGAGCAATAGCCCTAGCCTCACTGCCTCCATCTAATGCACGATAAAATCTTTCAGTTACAGCAGTTAGCAAGTCGGCCGTAGAGCGAGACGATCGAAAACCATATTGATTGTCTGACAGTAGTTTATTTGACTCAAGATGAGATGTGAGGAATTTGTTGATCAAAGACTCAAAGACCTTGCTAATAACAGAAAGAAGACTGATCGGACGATAATTAGAGGGGTCAGAATTTTCTCCAGAGTTTTTGAATATTGGAACCACAGATGCCATTTTCCAACAAGCAGGAAAACAAGACTCAGTCAAACACTTGTTAAATAGTTTAGAGAGAATTGAAGAAAGTTCTGGAGAACAATTCTGCAAGACTGTGACAGGAATGTTGTCTGGACCACAAGCTGTAGACGAGTTTAATTGAGATATGACTTTAGCATCAGAAGCCAGAGTGATTTGGATGTCTAACAATGGGTCAACCTGTTTGACTGGAATGGAAGGAAGAGAATGTCCATAAGATTCAAGAGTGGAATTAGAAGAAAAGTTCTTTGCAAATAGTTCTGCCTTATCCTTGGGAGAGGTAATAAGATCAATCCCATGAATGAGAGATGGAATGTTAGATCTACCCTTGTTAATAATGCTGTTGAAGATTTTCCAAAAGTCTTTAGAACCTAACTTCTGTGATAAGATGCGAGATTTAGTGAACTGAGAATAATGGAGTTTAGCATCAGAAAGCACCTTTTTACATCGATTTCTTGCAATAATAAATAGCCGTTTGTTCTCAAGAGAGTTGTTTTTTTGAAAAAGATGAAAAAAATGATTACGATTAGATATAGCAGCCGCACAAGAAGGAGAAAACCATGGAGTAGAATGAGGCTTGACTTGAAACCGACGCGAAGGAATAAAAGCTTCCATTCCAGCCTGAATCCAGGAGGTTATGTAGGAGGCGCATTTGTCAGCTGAGAGAGAAGAAACATCAGCCCAAGGACCATCACGAAGAAAATCACAAAAGGAATCCCAGTCAGCTTTAGGGTAGTAGTAGGTGGTGCGATGATAAGGTGAGCCCAAAAAAGAAGTACGAGAAGAAAGATTTATAGAGATCATTGCATGGTCAGAACCACCTAAGGGAGAAAAGGGAGAAACTGAACATAAGCTAGGGTCAGAGACAAGACATAACTCAAGGAGTGAAGGTAAATGATTAGGGTTGTCAGGAAAACGAGTCACAAAGTTAACTATCTGAGTAAGAGATTGAGAAACGCAGAAGTTAAAGGCTTTAGTGCCAGCAGGATCAGTGGTGTTAGAGCCAAGCCATTCAGTGTGATGGGCATTAAAATCACCAACAACAACAATATTGGCAGAGGGGTAAAGAAAGAGAGCATGGTCAATTTGATCAGAGATAACATCTAAGAGAGTGCAATCATGGGAAGAAGGAGAACGATAAAGAACAAAGAGAAAGGTGATAGAGTGAAGAGGTGCTAGGCGAAAGCACATAAAAGAATGGTCAAAGGATTCGAACCTGATTTCACGACAAATAGGGGAATTAATGCGTATGTATACCCCTAAACCTAGCATGTGGCTATTGGAGTCTTTACGAATCAAAGGATAGTACCCATCAGCACTGACATCTGAAGAAAGAATTGCAGAATTTAAATTTGTTTCACTGAGTGCAAGCAAGTCTGGTGAATTTTGCAGGAGGTAAGACTCAACTGATGGAAAGTTGCTTCGTAGACCGCGAATATTTGTAAAAGATATATTAAAATATTTAGGTGGTGGGCATGGTTTTTTAGGTTTTAAATTTTTGGTTACTTTGGTCATGATTTGGGTTTAATGAGAACTTGATTCATTCATAGATAGAGCACAGCCTCCTAATCAATGAGCTTTGCAGTTGTCTCAGTCCTGTTAATTAACCCTAAGCCGTGACATAAGGCTCTTTATGTGGCCTTGACAATGCACACCAAAAGCATTAACAGGGACACCATCCATGCGCAACATGGCACTGTTAATACTCTGATATTTTGCAGCTGTTGATGGAATCAGCATCTCTGAGAGCTACCACAGAGTTCGGGAAACCTTACTACCAGCCGGCCTCAGAACCATTAAACTGAGTTTTAGAGCTGTACCCTCATATGGAGATAACAGGAAGAGTTGCATAGCCATTATCAAGGAGACATAAGCAAAATTCTATGAGTAGAGTCAAGGAGATCCAGCATTCATCATCCTAGGCAGGAAACAATGTAACTCAGGTTACATCTACGCCAGCCTAATAGATGAAGAAGGGGTTCGAGGCTGGTTAGCAGAATTTTTCTGCTTACCCCTAAAGTCTTTGCCTAAGAGGCCTTCTACAAGACAGTAGCTGGATGCAGTTAACATCTGCCCAAGATGAGTATTTTTATCGAGACACCATCTCTAGCCTTTACTCAACCAAGAGCCCCAAGGCAGGGGATGTTTAGCTGGATGCAGTTAACATCTGCCCAAGATGAGTGTTTTTATCAAGACACCATCTCTAGCCTTTACTCAACCAAGAGCCCCAAGGCAGGGGATGTTTAGCTGGATGCAGTGAACATCTGCCCAAGATGAGTGTTTTTATCAAGACACCATCTCTAGCCTTTACTCAACCAAGAGCCCCAAGGCAGGAGAATTTTTAGTCGGACTTTATTTCTCCTAGCCTTTGCCTAAGAAGAGCACACTCTGCAAGGCAGCAGGGCTTGTGGCAGGTGGTACTGGGTTACGTGATACCAGTAGCAAGATTGGTCTCGATTATCCTGACCTTATTACCCATTTTGTTTAACTGTAAGCATTTATTACTATGGAGCTAGTTTTTTTTATTTGAATATCTCGCCAACTTGATACTATTACTACCAAATATGCAAAACTTTAATTCGAAATTCAAAATTTATCTCAAAAAGTCATTTAATTTGGCCGCACTTTTGCAAGAATTTTGTTTTGGTTGTCTCAAAGCTTGTTCTAAAGTATTGTATGATATTGTAGCTCTAACTAGTAACTCCAACTAATTGTTGATTTAGTTATATAATAAAGCTCAGAAATTTGAGAGAGAGAGAGAGAAAAGAAAGACTAAGAAACTTTAAAGTTATTTTATAACTATTATGTTTTTTTCTTGATTTTAGACCAAGCTTGGACAAATATGTTTTATATCTTGAAGGTAAACTTGATGATTGGACTGAACAAACTAAAGGTAAATCAACAATAGATAAAGTTGATATGCTTTTTTCATCTGTTACTGGTCAAGATTTATCTGATTCTGAAAAGATTGATCTTAAAATGTTTCAGCCAAAGGTTATTTTACAAACTTTTATTTTTTCTATTTTTTGTTTTAAAATTTTTGTATTTTTACTTTAAATTGTTAGTCAATATAATATTTTTTATCTGCTTTCTTAAAATTCATTAAAAAGGAAGTACTGAATCAGCTCCTTGATATCTTAGTAACTCCAAATTCAGTTTTTGTAAGAAAATATCAGAAGAGAGATTAACAATTGGAACATGGTTGTATATCTGAGGTTTTGTTTAATTACACATAGCTTATTGCTGAACAAACTTGATTCTTCTGGAATAAGTTTTCTGTTCAGATGAGCTAAGACTGTTACAAAGTCTAACCAGCTTGAGAATATTTATAATCTAATAAAAAGAAAGTCATTTACTTACTTGTCAGAAAATATTTAGATCAAAAAATAAACTGAAAAGAAACTAATATAAATAAAAAGTAAATAGATGAAAGAAAACAATTTATAAACTATACTATATGTATATTTAAAATCAAATTCATAGATCATTTGTTTAAAAGCAAAATAATCCCAGTTTTACATAGAACTGTTTCCAATTTTCTTGATACTTTATGTATCTGGTAACAGATACATAAGAAAGATTTCAAGGTGTTTTTGTAATTCATATTTCATTTAATTGCTAAACATAAATGCCTTTTTCTTTTTTCTTTTTTTTTGTTGAATAGACAAACGTTTTTATTTTACTGATGGTGTTGGGAGATTATTTTCTGTCATATATATGGTTTACTAAATCATTTTGACTGACATTGTATTTTAATAAGCATTGCGCAATGCAACAGATTACCTTTTTGTTAAACTATTTTCAGCCAGTTCAAGTATCTACACACATTCTTATGGAGACAATTAAGCAATATTTTCTGTTAAATGGTAGAAAGTTTTTGTTAAATAGTAGAGTAGTAGACATACTAAGAGTAGTAGAGTATTGGACATATATTAAGTTGATTAGTAGAGTATTGAAAATATATTCAGTTGGGTAGTAGAGAATTGGACATATATTCAGTTGAGTAGTAGAGTAGTGAACATATTAAAATGTAGATGGTTGTTGTGACAGTGGAACTTTCATGTGAATATTTTCATCTTTGAAGCTCTTTTTTTTTGCAAGGACTCTCTCTCTCCTCGATTGGATGCACATTTTTTCTAATCCTATCATCAAAAAACTCTATTGCTACAAGAATGCTATTGTTTTGTGATTATTTTGTTCCCCCGAATTTTTTTACAAATTTGTAATGTCCACCTGATTACAATTGCTTCTGATTGTAGTTACTTTTCATTATAAGTTCTCTCTCTTAAAAATATTTTTCCGATAGAAGCTATTTGAAGGCAGTGCTCCTTGGTTTATCTTTGCGTGGATGTAGTCATGTAGGACAGTCATGTAGGTTAACCAACACAATTAAAAAAATACAAACTTTCAATTTTCTAAAATATATATTTTTTGAATCGAGATTTCTAGTAGGGCCTCTGAAAAATCATAAAATGATGTCATCATAAAGTGATATCATCATAAATGATGTCAAAATCATAATCTGCATTGTCAAAAATCCATTAAATGATATATTACACGAATAAACGTTGAGTATGTATTGGTTCAACCATCATAAAGTACATTTTTGGCTCCGGTCTTTAAAAAATTAGCTGTAACCAACATAAATTAAAGGAATAGTAAAAAAAAGCTTTTGTATTCGGTTTTAGCATTGTAATTTAGCTATTAGGCGCAATGTTTGCAAGATTTTGTCCAGTACAATGATTTTTTTTTATAACACAAAATTTTTGTTTTTGGTTATAATGAAGAGTTAGCGCACTTGGCAGTCAATGCGATTAGGAATAAAATGTTATTAACATAACATTTTATTCCTAATCGAATTTTTTTCCTATTTAAATTTGCTTTCCCAAGACTCCAGAGCTCCTTGTTACAGTTGAGGAGTCTTCTTAATTTTACTCGGTTATTTAAAATATAAGAAAATTGGCCTATTATTTCTAATTAGCCTAATTCTGTGATTTCGTTCCTTTTAATTATTTTTAAATCTCATGATATGTTTTTTTAAAACTTTGTTTGAAAAACCAAGGAATGAATATGTGTATTATGAATAGTTTTTCCATTTGATAATTTTATCACTTAGCTTATTTATTAAAAATAGGGATAACAATATCCTAATAAATAATCTTTCTTAAACATCTAAATTTTGTCTATTATAGTTTTCAATTTTGTTGGGATGTATATGTTGTTGTTATTTGTTTGAAATAAACTTTTTTGTTAACACGATGACAGTTATGTTTTGTGTAATGAACATAACTGTTGAGATAAAAAAATTTATATGATGACAAAGATGTTTGTTGTTAAGTAAATTTCTTAACAGAGGAACAAATAATCTTAAACTTAGTAATAATTTTTTTGTTTGTTTAAAAACTTTTTTAAAAGAGTGATGTTTATGTTTGCATTGAGACTGTGTTGATTATTTTTCTAACAGGGAGCCAGTGATGAGATTCCAATATATTTACGCTCAACTCAACCTGTTCGCAATCGTTTTTTGTGCAAACGTGATTTATGCATTATTATTAATGAAGTTTGGTCACAGAAGTGTCTGGAAGAAGGATATTTACCTTTGTTAAAGAGATCTCATATGTCTCAATTTCTTTATGACTATCTAAAAAAAATGTTTCAACTTGAGCTGATGGTTACTGAATGGGGATATAATATACACGAGTCTTGTTTAAGGTTTTCTTATGATAAGAAAGTCAAGTTCTTTTTCGATGTTCTCAAATCAGAAGTAAGCTTTTTAGCACAATTTTTTTTTTCATAAAACAAACATAAATTTTTTTTATATTCCAGAAGAGGGAAATTAAATTTTATTTATTTTTAAGGCAGACGAAGATGTTTATTATGTTCAACTTATGCAACAAGAAAAACTTCTTGACTCATTTGTTTCGTTTGATCCAACCAAAACTGTAAAGCGTTAATTTAAATGTCTGTGTTATTTTAAATCAAAATAAAATATTCAAAAAATTTCTTTTTCTTATTAGGATTACATTGAAAAGAATGATTTTTGTGTTTGCTTGCAAAATTTCTTTCCAAAATATTCAACCGAAGACATTGATGCTTTGATAAATTGTGCTGAGAAAGACCTTAGAATATCAAAAAATGACAAACTTTTATACAAGTCTCTTTTTAAAAAGGTTACTATTATTAGTTCTCTAATGCATGTCATTTGTTAAATTTTGTCATTTAAAGATGCTGTTTTTTATTTTGCAAAGGATGAAGAAGGAAACTATGGTTTATTTATTAAATGCGTTATGAAGTTTTCACAAAGAAATTCAAAACTAGTCATTGATAAATTGATGACACACCTTGAAAGCAAAACGTATATTTTAAACTTTTATGATTTTTTTAATATATTAAAGAGCGTTATTTTTACATACATACATTCATACATACATACATACATACATACATACATACATACATACATACATACATACATACATACATACCGAAAAAAAACATTGGTCTCAAAGCGCAAAATTGTCTGTCGTTTAAAGTTTGCAAAACAGTACGTACCCAAGGAGTTTTTATAAAAATGTGCTTTGGACTGACGAGTCTAAATTTAATTGCTTTGGACCCTATGTAAAACAATATGTTCGTCGTCCCTAAAACCAAGATCTCTCTAAAACATAGTGGTGGCAAGGTGATTGTTTGGGGCAGTTTTTCATGGTCTGACGTGGGCCCGTTGCATAGAATTCAAGGGATAATCGATCAATGTATGTACAAAGAATTACTAGAAAACCCCATGTTGAATTAGACCGATTTTGGATCGAAATAAAGCCTGCTTGGGACACTCTTACGCCTAAACAATGCCAAAAACTGATCTTGTCTATCGTGATCGTTGTAAACTGATTGCTGTCCAGCAGTTATTGACTCAAAAGGATACCCCACTAAATATTAATTTATATCAAGCAAACTTTTCTTAACTATTTATACAAAAAACTTCTATCATTTTAATAGCTAAGGGACAAAATGATAATTCTCTAACAGGGTGTGTTACTTAAATTGCCCCCTTATTCTGTAGGGTAAATTAGGGTAATATGAGCATCTTGGTAATATGAGCATACTTAAAGATTTCAAAGATGTAAGCAGTGAAGTTAAAGTTGCTTTGTATTTTTTGAATCGACTTTACATGGTGATAACAGAAATCAGTATAATTAACGTAAATTTAATTAGCGGGTATCATTTCATTAAAACGCTATTAAATTTTTTGCGCTGTTAAAGTAATATCATCACGCATGAATAAATCTGTGGCGCGAAATTTTAGTGCTAAAAAAATGAAATTTATTTTTTGATAAAAAAAAATATGTTAATAGAAATCCTTTTCCTTTTTGTTTAAAAAACAATGCATAGGAACACTTAGTTTTGACTATTTAAAGATGCCATTTTTGTGTAATATGAGTAAGCTCAAGTTACCCAGTGATTTTCATTAAAATTACGTAGTTTATAGTCCTAATACCGTAGTGGTTTTAATTGATTTTTTTTTTTTTTAAAAAAACATAAAAAAATGTTAATATTTCAACAATACTAAATATTTTTCTATATTTTAAAATTCAATTAGTTTAAATTTTTTTTGTTCAAATGTTTGAGTTAATAAAATTGATAAAAAACGACCTAATTTTTTTTTTTATTGCTTAGGGGCCATCCATAAAGGACGTCACCATTTTTTAGCCAATTTTTGATCCCCTCCCTCCCCCCCTCCTTTGTCACCGGTTGTCCTTTTTCCCTATACCCCCCTTGAAAAAGACGTCATAAAATCCTTCCCCCCCCCCCTATTTTTAACTCCAAAATTATTTCATCTCGCAATGATGTTTGAATCTGCTGCTACACCTTTGAAAAATAAAATTAAAAATATTCTCATACATTATCTTCTTAAAAACACATGTTTACGTAGTTTTCCATGTTAATTAAACTAAAATAAAAAATCTATAAAGTGGCGTCCTTTTCTGACAACTTTCCCCCCCCCTCCTTCCCTTGTCCTTTTTTGTCCTTTTTAACTCAACCCCCTCCCCCTCCCCCCTATTTGGATGACGTCCTTTATGGATGGCCCCTTATTACAAAGTAGTATTGTTTCAATAAAAAGTGGCTAAAAATTTGATCTTTTAATAATAAGTTTTGTTAATAGATCCGTAAAAATTATTTGCAAAAAATTTGGATCCAGCATAATTATTCATGAAAATATTCAAATTTTCACTTAAGGTGCTCATATTACCCTAATCTACCCTACAACTAAATCATTTACATGATCGAATTTCTTTCAATCTGTGCTATTTATTTTGTCGCCACTGTATATATATATATATATATATATATATATATATATATATATATATATATATATATATATATATATATATATATATATATATATATATATATATATATATATAATTTATAATATTTTACAGACACATTTCTCCGATGGACCTTCAAGAGGCTATGCAATCTATTGATTCAAATATAAGCGACGAAACTGCACAACACGTTATTAGTTTTGTATTTTGTACCAATATTTGCAATCAACCCCTTCAAAAATTGACAAAAAATGAACTTTTTATAAAGCTTGCGAGTAGTTCAATTTAATTGTTGGTTGCGTGCCGAGAACCCTTTATCTACTGTCCATCCGTATGTATGTATGTATGTATTAAATTTATTATTTGTTTTGATTGAAAAATGTATTTAAAGCTATTTATATTATAACTGTTTCAAATTATTACGATTGTTGGAATTTTTGTTTGATTGTATAATAGGCTAAGATCAGGTATGCGATAAAAAAGTTAAACATGAAAGTAAATTTACGTCTATTATGCGTATTAGGGTGTGTCATACTGTATGATTTATATATTTTTGTTTTTAATATAACCCTTCTATATTAAAAACTTGTGTATAAATAATTCAAACTCAAAACTAAAATTTTTTATCAGATATCTAATAGCTTAGAACCTAACCAGATATCTGATAGCTTAGACTCTAACCAGATATAATATCTGAATAAAGCGCAAGCATTTATTTACACCTCCTAATTTTGAATTTTTGTGATATGGAAACGATAAAAAGTTGCCAAAGTTGTTTTATCAAAATTAAAAAATTAGGGACGTATAAGATTATTCTATTATACATATTCATACTAATAATTTTTATACTATGTTAAAAAATTTTATTTCAATAAAACGGCATTGCACAAAGTATAAAATAGGTATTAATTCACCGCAGTGTCAACATCATCAAGATCAAGAAATCCAGTAAAATGCTTATTGAACAATGTTTACTCAAATTAATTTTATACCAATGCTTTGTTTGTGTTTCCAGTAACACGTATATAATGTTACATTATTACAACGTAGGGAGATAATTGGAATGCAGCCATGTTCTACTAACCTAGGTAAAAGCAAGATTAAAAGGTAAAAGCAGATTTGTGGTTAAACTTGACAAATGCTTTAGTATACTAATTTCTAATTGCTGAATTTTTACTTGTCTATTAGTTAGAATGCAGTGATAAAGCTCAAGTTAAATACGCACGTGCAAAAATACGCACGTGCAAAAAGAAGATCCTAAAGAGTTTTTATACTTGGAAAAAAATCTAAAATAAAGACTAATAGTTCACATCACCTTGAATTAAACAGAAAACTGCTTGAAAATAATGAAGAATCAAGGATGTAGTAGGATTTTTTTAATTAGGTTTGGTTTTTAATTAGTTCTTTACAATGAAATAAAAATTAATTATATCTCTATATAAAAGTTTGAGTTATATTATAATCATCTTTGACAATTTTAACTTAAAAATAACTAAATTTATTTAAGACATAGATAAGGAATAATTTTGATAAACAGTTTGAACTACTTGTATTAATTATTCTATTTTATTTATGTTGTAATGAACAAAATTGTATTTTCAATAATCTAAAAAATTAAACAAAAAATTAGCTAATAAAAATTCAATTACTATATCTTTAGTTAAAATTAAAAACGTACAAAGTTTTTAATTCCAATCAATAATTATAAAGTTTTCAGTTTGAGTTTGGCGAGCCAGATGTATCAATTAGTAATAAATATTAAATAACAAATGGCAACACATTGTCCTGGTGATAGGTAGTGGTTCTACCAAGGGTTTTCCATAAAGTACGTACGAAGTTATGGGGAGAGATAAGGTTACCCCTAAACGTACAAATGCGTACAAAGAGTGAGGTGTTAACGACAGCAAGTACGTACGCGGTTTGAATAACTTTCGTTGTCTATCTCTTCTAAAAGCTGTTTTCTTTTTCTTTTTTTTAACAAAAGCAAATAGTTTTACGAATTTAAAAAATCAATATTATGTTATGTAACGGAGATATATCGAATAAACTATTTTTTGTTTTTGTTTTTAGTGCTTTGAATAATTTATGCGTTTAAGAAGGTAGCGGTTATTTATGTTAGTAATGCATACGCAGAGGAGGAATAGGATTGTTCAATAAAGCAACTACTCCGCAAAATAATCCATACTGTTGTTAGATATCTGCTTATTATTCAAAAGGATAAAGTTAACAAAAATTTATCTCAGTTTTATGGGTAAAAAATAATCTCTGTCATTAGAAGTGAATATATGCTCAAAAGCTTTTTTGTTTAGTAAAAATGGTCCTTTAGTAAACACAGAAAAAAAAATTGTTCATGATATTGTTAATAAATATAATATAATATAAACGTTCTTTCAAAAAACATTTGATACCGTTTGCTAAACTCCCATGTCGATAAAAATCTACAACTACAAGCAAAAATTTACATTTTTTTTGTAAAATTATTTTCGTTAATATAAGTGAACCCAACATCACGATTTCCGGCTTCAATATTATGAATTTTTTAATCTAAGTTTTTTTTTAGGGAAATTTTTTTTTAGTAAAATTATGTATAAATGTAAGTTTTTAAAATAAAGCGTTTTCAATTCAAAAAAAAATAGTGTCACACCCACGGTGTTCTAGAATCACAGGCTTTGACATAGCGATATAATATTTATTGACTGGAGACCTTTTCTATAAAGATGAATTTAGATGGAAAGAAACATTTTTGTTTTGCGATGTTTATACTCAACAGCAATTGGTCCAGCAAGTGGAAGCGATTCCACGGCGCTACAAAGTTTTTAAAAATATTTTACTACGTTTCAAGTTTTTAAAAATATTTTATTCTACTTTACATTACATTACATCTTCTATTAATTTGTCTATTTTGAAATTTAAGGGGATTAATTCAGGAAATTTAAGGTGATTAATCAAATCACTAGATAATTAAGTTAGTTAGTGATCCAAATTGGAAACTGGGAGATTCTCTTCATAAACTTGAATTTCAAGAAGACAATTATCAGAATGGCTTGTTAAAGTCTACAATAGAAGTTCGAGTAACAGAGCTTGAAAAAAGATCATTAGCAATTTTCAAGATTAAATCAGAAAATAAACTTTTAGAAGCAGAAACATCTTTGGAACAAATTCTAAAGAATTTGTTTCAGAATATGTTTGGCTAGAAGTAGGGATAGAACAGTTAACAGAAGGTAGCAAATCGTCAACATTGTTAAATTATGCAAGATTGACTTTTTATTTTAAATATCTGGATTTCCAACAAAGCTGGAAGCAACAACTTTTAGAGTTGGTAATTACTGGAAGAGCCAAAATGAAGATTATAAAACAAGATAACGATTAACAGACAACTTGAAAGATTTCAAATTACATGAATCAGAAAAGATGATTACAAAAAAGTACAAGTGTTACTAAAACATGATGTTCTAGGGAAAAAACATGATGTTCTAGGAAAAAAACTGATGTTCGAGGAAAAAAATATGATGTTTGAGGAAAAAAAACATGATATTCTATTTAAAAAACTGATGTTCTAGGAAAAAAACATGATGTTCTAGGAAAAAAACTAATGTTTTAGGAAAAAATAATGATCTTCAAGAAAAAAAACAAGGCAAATATGAATTTTTAGAGCACTTAGGAACAATAAAATACTATATTTTTGTATACAAATACTAACTTAGCAATGATTTGTATATAAGGTTTCTATGAGAGGTCAGTGCGAAAAGATAATCAGAGACAATGTAAAGTAGAAGACACAGTAAAAATGTTGCTATTTATCAATATAGGAATATCAACAAGATTGCGATCAAGAAGACTTTTTAAAGACTTTACTAGATACACCATTTCATCCAGAGCAATAGGATGTGCCTCACCGCCTCCATCTAATGGTAATTTCAAATCTTTCTGTAACGACAGTTAACAGTTCAGCTCTAAAACGAGATTATTGAACTCCATATCTTTCTTATGTCATCAATAAATAGAGCTACCTGTAAGCTTTTAAGGATGATTATTAATGTTGGTTAGAAACGGTAAAGGGCTGAGGATAGATGTTAACCTTGTTAGCTAAGTATCGAGACTAGTGTGAATTTGCAGCGTTTAGTGCCTCAGGGTCTGTGTGTTTTGTAATGTTATTGCTGTGATGTTTTGTGTTGATAGACAACTTGGCTTACCTTCTCGCTGGTATCAATTGTTTAAAATGATTATTAGGTTGTTTCGTTATTGAAACTCGCTACTTCTAATCATTCGCTAAAAGCCAAGAGATAAATTTTAGAATAACAACATTTTTTGTTTTTATAATGTTGTTGTTTTTATCTTAGGTATTGTCAATAGTTCACATAAAAAAATTTTAACAAAATATTTGTTAATTTGTTTTAAAAATTAAAAAAAATTATAAATTAACAATTAAAACTAAACTAATATAAAATAAGTTTCTTATTTTATATTTATTTAGTTTTAATTGTAACTTTAATTGTAAAAAATAAAATAAGTTTCTTATTTTATATTTATTTAGTTTTAACTGTTAATTCATATTTTTTTTAACTTTAAATTTTTAAAATGAATTAACAAATATTTTTTAAAAATTATTGTTTATCTGTGTTTTTATTAATAATTTTGTTACATTTTATTACACCTGCTATAGCTGTTGTAAGTACTCGAAATTTCAGGAAGTTCTATTGCTGTAAGTTATTTTCATTTAAATTTAAATTTTAACTTCATAAAACTTCTGTTAAATAGGTAGTTCTGAATGTTTCAGATTTCAATATCCTTACGCAGCAATACTAATCGGTCTGTAAATTAAGCAATTTTTTTAAACAGATAAATTAAATGGGTTCTACGAGCCTTTATACATATTTGTATGAAGTTTTTATAACATGACCCGAAATTTTATTCTCTAAGACTAGATAATTAAGTAAAAACACCTCAGTATGTAAAATTAACGATTCTAGATAATCCCGACTGATGTAAAAAAAATTATGGCATTTAATTTTCTTACAGTTTTGTATCCCTATCGAAAATTTTAAGTCAATTGTAATAAAAGTTGGAGAATATTAAATATATTCAAAGTCAAATTGCCCAATTGGTTTGTGCAACTTTATTTAATTTACTGACCGGTCTGTGAATTATGCAATAATTTCAAATTGATGTATTTTTCAGATTCCATGATTCCCTTATGCATATTTGCATATTGTAACCCTAATTTTTGTTCTTCATTACATAATTAAATAAGTAAAAACACTTCAGTCTGTAAAATAAACGATTCTGGTTAATCCTAACAGATTTAATAAAAACTTGATCACTATTTAAAATTTCAAGTCAAACGTAATAACGGTTCAAAAATATCAAAAATTTAAAAAAAAATATCAAACTATTTAAAGTTGATATATTCAATTTTAAATGGGCTGTACAGTCCATTTACAGTTCTTTTACCGCAATTTACTGACCGGTCTGTAGATTATGCAATTTTTTCACTGGTCGGTCTGCTAATTATGAAATAGTTTTCAAATTATGTATTTTTTGGATTTAATGTGTCCTTTATGCGTTTTTGCATGATATAATTATAATATGGCCCCAAAATTTATTCTCCAAAACTTAGAAAACAATATAAAACCCTTTAGGCTGTAAAATAAATGATTCTGAACAATCGCGACAGATCTTTTTAAAAAAAAATTTGGTATTTTATTTTCTTATAGTTGTTCGATCATTATGAAAAATTTCAAGTCAAATGTAATAATAATTCAAAAGTTATTTAAAAGTCATTATGACCCCAAAAATATATAAATTAGTAAAAACCCTTAGTGTGTAAAATAGGTGATTCTGGTCAATTTCGACAGATTTTAAAAAAAATTTGGAATTTTATTTTCTTGTAGTTGGTAAGTCACTAAAGAAAATTTCAAATCTAATGTATTAGCGGCTTAAAAGTTATTAAAAAGTCAAAAACACTCTCATTTTCGGTGCGATATTACAGCATTTACGATATTTTCCATATTTAAGCCCTATACCTTTTGTCAAAAAGTCATCACTTTATTCACTACGAAAAGTTCAATGACTTTTGATCTGCTTAACTTTAAAGGCCAAATGACCCCTCATTTTTTAAGACTTCTCAAGCTCTATACGATGACATTATTTATATTTGAATATTTGATTTATGAAAAAATTGTCTGGAATGGCTAACTGAGGTGTGCCGACCTCATTTGCCAATAGGTTGCAAATCTTTTATATTTTATCTGGAAAAGAATGTCCTACAGAGCGACCAACTGTCTTTTCTAACATATCTCTAAACCCAGAACAACAAAATCGTCATTGTTCAGTATAAGAAATACAACATCAGATGAACTAGATAGCTTTAGAGAACATGATTTTTTTTTGATTTGATAGCATAAAAGAGAAACTCTAGCGTAGTAATGATCCTATTGTATACAACATAAATGACAATAATTTTATTTAAATTCAGTCAAAGGAATTTGTATTTGGTATTCTAAAGTTTTTATTTATCATTAATAGGGTATTAACATTAACTTCGTTTCCTTTTGAATCATCTTGCAGTATTCCTATTTTAATGTCAAGTAAGACATCATCATATTGTAAGTATTGTTCAGTTTTTGATGAAATCATACGTTACTTAAAAAATATAGATATTTGCCATAAAAAAATGTATTACTCGAACATATGGACTGTATGTCTCAAAAGAAAGTTGGTGAATGTACTTACTCCCCTGATATAATTACTCGAGCATTTGAATATTTTGCTATATCCAGGTCTTTGTACAGCCAAATTTCTAATGACTATTAATTACCCAGTATTAGAACTTTGACAAGAATCACTTCAAAAATCGGATCACAAGATAGTCTGAAGTTTTTTTAAAATGTTACGACGTGTTTTGAAAAGACACAACGTAAATGTATATTGCAGGCTGATGAAGTTTATATTAAATCTACATTAACTTATCATGGAAGTGTATTATTTGGAAATTCTGCTGATCAATCCGGTGTTCTTGCCAAAACCATGTTGGCTATAATGGTAAAATGTTTATTTGGTGGACCAGAGTTTTTAGTAAAAGTGATTGCATTTAGTCACTTAGATTCTGATTTCTTTTTAAACAATGCAAACCAGATATTGAAACAATTAACAATCAACTCAATGCAAAACTGTTGTCAATTATTGCTGATGGAAATAGAGTAAATCAAAAGTTTTTTAAAATGATGAAGAAATTGAAGAAAAACTTTGGTGCTGAAATAATGAAAACACATTTTTGTTGTTTGATTATGTTCATTTCATGAAGTATGTACGTAATAATTAGTTAACTGAAAAAAGCAGAGAATTAGTTTTTGAGTTTGAAGGTAACAAACACGTAACAAAATGATTTAGTAAATCTTTATGAGTTGAAATCTGCCAATCTTTTAAAACTTAGCAAATTAATTGAAATTTCCATCTCTCCAAAACCCATTGAGCGACAGAAAGTTGACACTTGTTTACGAGTATTCTGTGATGAAACGGTTGCTGCACTTAAAAATCATCCATCCATTAAAAAAGATGAAGTTATTAGCACCATCAAATTTATTTCTATATTTTTGAAGTTTTGGAAAATTTGTAATGTGAAAGGTGTTGGAGCATTTATTTGTTGTAAAGATGAGTACCGTGCAGTTATAAGATCAACACAGACAAAATCCTGCTATTCTTACTAGATGTGGCAGATATGGTTGAAAAAATGAAAAAATTAGACGCAAAACGTATTAAGCAGTTTACAAAAGATACCTCTGAATGTATTTCTCAAGTGTGTAGGGGATTATTCAACATTGCGAGATACCTTTTGGATTGTGGAAATGATTATATTATCCTGAGGTGGTTTACAACTGATTCGTTAGAGAAAACCTTCAACAATCTTTCTAGGTTTCTGGAGAAACCAATTTTATTTCTGCTCAATCTGTCATAAAAAAACAAAATATGCACCTTTGACAATATTGTTCAATGGTGCATATTTTGTTTCGTTTTAATTGAGCAGTTATCAGATGAATTTTGTCGAACCTTTTTGATAAAGCAATTCTTATCTGTCTCAAACAAGTTTCAATTTGGTATTTATGACCGACATTGCCGCACTTTAGCAAATACCCAGCGGGCATTTGTTTTTAAAAGTTACGTTCTAAATGTATTTTAAATGTCTTTTAAACGTTTTCTAAACGTTTTTCCGCAAAGAACGTTTAAAAGACATTTAGAACGTAACTTTTAAAAACAAATGCCCGTAAGGTATATTTCTAAAAAATCTAGCAATAATAAAATCTCCAAGATGCTTCAAGGAGTCTAAGAAAAAAATCTAAAAATGTCATAAAAATAATTTTTATTTAAATCTTATTACATTATACAAGAAGTATATTATAGTTTATTAATTTTAATGTGGTTTTACTTTTAAGACAGCTTTTATATATTGTTATTATTATAGTTTTTTGCTCTTCTTGTCCGCATCCACTTTACTTATTTGCGCTTTGCTCGGCCTCCAGTCAATAAAATTTCGGAGTGTTGTCAAGGCCTGTATTTCTAGAAGACCATGGTCACACCCTAACGCATTGTCTTGCAGACTAAATATTTTTATAGAATATATATTTTCAAATGATTTAATCAAAAATTAACGTAAAGATATGTAAAATAAAACTATATAAAAATTTGTTGGATAAAATATTTGCTATGTTCATAGAGGTTAAAAATACTTCTAAAGAAACGGCATAAATATCTTTTTCATCTAAATAAATTTTATCTAAGTAAATTTTATCTGATGATTTGCATTTTAATGAACCCATTAAAGAGAATCAAGAAATCTTTTTGCTATTTTTTTGACAAAAAAAATAGCAAAAAGATTTCTTGATTCTCTTGAGTTGCATCTTTCAAAATTAGGATTTGGATAATAAAAACTGAAAAAGTAGTAGCTGCAACATTTCATACAGGTATAAATGGTCATAGACCAATTCTATCTTCAATTTTAAAGCATGAAGAGAACAACTTGGAGGATATTGTTTTGTCAAAATCAGGATTTCTTTTTAGTAGGTATATTGTCGAGAAACACATTAAAGAACTTTATTGTCTACGCATACATTAGACACATCTAGCATTTTAAGTTCAAGGACTAACAGAGTTGTTCAGAATAAGTTTTGATTGATTGGCAATTTTTAGATATGGAATGAAGTTAATAAGCCAATAAAGGTATTAATCTAAATAATTAGGCCATTAAGTTTAATGAAAATCGCCGCGTTAAAGAGTCTAAAATCCTACCTTTGTTTTTATAACATATTTTGCGTTGCGAAATTTATGGACGATCCCTAAGGAACGAATACGTCTTTTTTTTTTCGTACTTGCTATCTTTATACATTTTAATAGAAACTTGTAAGTATTATATTGTCGGCCTAATAAAAGAATTTAAAAAGTAAAGTCATTAACTCTTTAAAAGATTTATTTCAATATTTTTAAAAGCAAGTTTGTTTGTTTTTTTTTTTGCAATTTTTTTTATTTTTTGTAAAAATTTAAAAATAATATAAATATTTTTATAAAATGTTTTTGTTAATATTTTTTAATTAAACAAAATACCAACAACAAGTTTTTTCTTTGTTATAATTTTTTTAAATTTTGAAGGCAATAATTCGAACAAACGTGTAGTGGAAGCAGTTACTGGGCTAGCGGAAGCAGTTATCGGACAACTGTAGAATGAAGACAGTTACTGGACAGTTACTCCTCAATTGACTTCGCTTATTTTGTGTTGTTAAAAGTTGAAACTTTTAAGTTGCCAACTAATTGAGTAAAAAAATAACTAATTATGCTTTTTCATGTTTTTCAACTTCTTCAACTATGACGTCAGGCATAGCCAAATCTGCTAATATTTGAATTTTTCGAGTTACTGTGTCTAGAAAAAAACAAGTTAGTCAATAAATTAAATGTTTTAAATATATAAAATTATTAACTTATACACTATTTCTTTATTATTCATTAAAAAAATTATTACCTATTAGACGGACTAAACATACTGGCGTAATTTTGTATTTGACAAATGCAAAGTAGACCGGAATTCCAAACAAGATAAATATTAGGCAGTATGAAGAATTCACGGGGTAGTTATAAAATGGTGCAACAACCAGATAAACTGCGCACAAAAGTACGACAATCGGAATTCCTATAAACACCTAAAAAAAAACAATAATCTTAATTAAAATTTATAATTAAAAAGTTTAGGAAAAACACATGTAGGTGAAAGTGGGGTACCATAATACACTTTTTGTTTTTTCTTGGTAAAAATTTCTTTAATATGTCTTTTTTTTTGTTTGGTTTTGTAATTAGTTTAACTTGCAGAATAAATTTATACCTACAAAATTAAATATATTAATTGCCAAAACATAACAGGTTAAACTTGTAAGACAATTTAAAGTAAAATGAAAAACTCGCATCAGGGTACCTCACCTCTACATGGATGCACCTCCCATGGATGGGGTATATAAAAAATTAAAAACCCAGAGAAAAGGCGGATATTTACTTAAATCACAAACAAACACAAAAGCAGCCGTGGGCAGTGGGAGCGCACTTGCCTCAGAAACGTAAGATCCGTGGTTCAAACCCCACCTCTGGGCAAGTTTTGCGACATTGGTTGGGAAGGAGGCGTGAACTTCCTATTAAATGCTCTACCGCGGTGCTCTGTGATAAGACCGGTAAGGACTTCTTGGGGCACCTAAAATCAACTAAAAAAAAAAAAAAAACTAACAATTATTACCCAAATAATGAATCAAATGATCGTAATAAAATTTTAGAAATTCAGATAATATATCGTTTTGAAAGGAATTCTTAAGCGTCAATAAATAATGGCTTTGTATCAATATTAAATCTCCTAGTATTATATTTACCTAAATCTATTAAGGTACTTCTATACAATTAGACAACTTTTTTCTTAAAATACATTTATTACAAATATAATTAACATAAATTACAAATATAGGTTAAATGAAGACAAAATAATATAATTTTTTTTTTAATCCTAATAAAAAAGTTGGTTTTGGTCCCAAAAAGGGGCTAAACCATTTACACGATTATTTTTCATAGGGTGACTGTTAAACTTTGAAATTTGCATAATTGTATTATAACAATGTAAACTAATGTAAACAAACTGTGCCACTTTCACGTTCAAACTATCAAAACTTGCAAAAGTATAGTCATTTTCATAAGAATTGGTGAATATCACAGATTTACTCGCCTATTCAAAATTTCATAAATACAAATCTGAATAAGTAAGACTCTTCATAAAGTATTAGTAAAGATATTATTTAAACGATTTAACCAAAATAACAAAAAACACGATCTGTGAAAAGACAGTTTTAAAAATCAGATAATATTTATTAACATAAAACAAAACAGAACTCACTCATTGGGATCTAGAATTATAGAAATGGCATCCTGTAATTTTTTTTTGAATATAAGCACTTTTCTTAGACCTCTTTACACTTCTTTATGTTTTTAAAATATTAAATTATTATTTAGAATGAATTAAAGCTCTATTATGGCCACACTTTAATGCATTTTTTCAAAAAAACTTTAACGAGGAATATTCAAACAACCAAAAACATTTCCAATACAATTAATACCATCATTAAAACTTATGATGGCAAAATCCAATCAAAGTACTTATCTGCTACATTTACATTTTGCGTTTGATCAAGGAGGCATTATTGCTTAGGACGTTGCTAAGAGTAAAAATCTATACCAACATTAAGATAAAATGATAAAATGAACCCCAATTTCTTCTTTTTTTTCAAATTTCGACGACACATTAATATTTTGTGATAAATTTTGATCTTAAAGCAATCCTAATTGAAAATATGAAAATTTTTCATTTTTTTAACTAGGATGCTAAGGTATTTCTATACGATTAAAAAGATTTTCACCTTTTTAATCGTATAAAAGTACCTTAAAAAATTGACTGTAAATATTAAAAGAAATAATTTTTAGAATTATTTATAACACACCGGAATACTTTTCAACAGTTTTAGGGCTCCTTAATATTGTATCAAGTTATCTCATACTTGCTAATAAAAACAATTGCTTCATTTTTAGTATCAACTTATTTTTTTAATAGTTTATTTTTTAAGAGTTTAGTTTAGTTTGAAGTAAAGAACTTATAGATTGTAGTTTATAAAATAATGTTACTTACCAAGAGACACATTGAATAATATTCCTTTAAAATTAGCAAATTTAAAAACTAATTTATTATTATGTCAAAAAAAAACAAAAATAGAAAACATAAAATTCGACCACTCGTATGATATCAAGTTATATAATTTTTCGACCCCTAAAAATTCGACCCCCTTCATGATATAAAATGATATAACTTTTCGACACCTAAAATACGACCCTTGCATGATGTTAAAAAATAGAATCTTTTTATCAAAACATAGCTCTAGTAGTAATTTTTTCACTGTGTGAAAGTGGTTACCACAACTCCTAAGATGTCTCCACAGTTACGAAGTTTCAAGATAACGGTAGCGGCATCTTTCCCCCGTCCTTTTTTGGAGGATATTTAATTATAAAATATCATTTCAGTTGCCAATCACAGCTTTAACTATAATAAAATGTAAAATATTTTATAGTAATAATAAGTATTAATACTTAGGTGGTACTGTTGTTTATCTTCCTCCGGCTATTTGCCCTATTGTGGCCACATATCAAATCCCACGAAGACGACTTTAGCTCACTAAAAAGCATCATAGCCCGCTTTAAAGGATCAGGAGTATGTGAGTTTAAGTCGAGTTAGAAAGATAGCATAAAGATAGCTGCACTGGATGCTAGAATGTGCAATTATACTATTAATTAGTTATAACATAATAATGTAATATTAATTCTTAGGTATTTTCTTTGTGATCTGCCTTCATCGTTACGCATTTTGTTAAAAATTCAACTTTTTTATTTTTGTGTTGACATTTATTTTTTTGTTGTTGTTTTCAAAACTTTTATCAATTGCATGTTTGTTAAAGATTTTTATTTCTTCAAGCTCTATTTTAAGATCTATTGTAAAAAAGGTCTTCAATACTGAAGCCGACTTAAATGTTTAAATAGCTGACTTGCCTGCCTTTTTAGAAGGGGATTAGGTGTTTACAAAAAAGTTCAAAAAGGTTCAAAAGGTGTTCGAAAAGGTTCACATACATTACAAATATGCTGGTAAGTCAAGTTTTTCAACAAAATAACAAAAAACTTATGCTACTAGAAATATAAGTCAAGAACAATAAGTAAAAAAATAGAGAAGGGATCTCACAGCTTTGAATAAGTCAATATTTAGATATAATTATCCTGCAGTAACATTTTTAATTAATACTACTGTTATTTATGATGAATTTGCTGTGAAAATTGGTGCTATCACAAAAGAAGTTGCTGAAAATACCATGATTGATGCAGAATAGCAGATGCGGAAATACCCTGTTAATGATGATGTTTTTGATATCGTTGTGTCCTTGATGGTTCTTGACAGAAAGGAGCCTTTATCAATAATAATCAATTTTTTATATTTTTAATAATGTTATTTAACATTTAGTTATATAAAATATCAATCATATTAATTGAAAATTTTAGATTAATTTTACGTCAGTAATTTAGGAGACAAGTTTCTCTAAATTTAAATATGCCATAAATATTATGTTACAATTAAAGTAATCATATTATGAGGTTGGTTACACGATAAGTAGTGCAATTGCTTATTGTGTAAACTATCAATGAATACCGGTAACGTTTTTGTGTAAATTATCAATGTATATCGTTTTTGTGTAAATTATCAATGGATACCAGTAAAATTTCGCATGTGAAACTGATGTGCAGATTCTGCATAGGTTTTGAAACAAAGGAATTTTTAAAAATAAACCATAACTTATATACCCAAAAGAATAACTCTCACATTTTTAAATACTTATACAAAAACCTTAGATGGTATAGAGACCATGTGTGCCAAACGTAATTTTCAAAATAAAATTACGTAAAAATTACGACACTTGAATTTTTATGATGACGGGGCCAGTAATATATTGATCGACATCAAAGAAATTTAAATTGATAATCAAGTTAATAAGTTGTTTCAGGAGGTACTCAAAACGTGTTAGTACAAACTACAAAACTAAAATGAAAAATAAAAAATTTTTGTTGTCTTTTAATTGCAATAGGAGTTGATTGTAATAGTAGTTGATTGTCTGCAAAATTAAACTTATTCTACTATAAGGCAAAATGCTGACAACTTAACAAGCATGAAGAGGTCTTCCATAAATTACGTCACGCAATTTTTGATCGTTTTTGACCTCCCCCTTAATCTCGTCACAAAATTGTCACACTTAAGTAGCAAGTTTTGCATGAATCGTCACAAAACCACCCACCCCATTCCCCCTTCCCCTTTATAGCGTGATGTAATTTATCAACAACCCCAAAGCAGAAAGGTTAGCAACATTATTTCATGTTACATTTTCAAAAATCAATATCTTGTACTTTTCTCACTATTCTACCGTCAGCAATAGTTGCTGCAAATTTAACTTTGATAAAGAAAGTAATGTCAACAAGTATTTGCCAGGTGCGTGTCTTACAATTCACATTATTTTTAAAACTAAACGCATAGTCACGGAAGTTGATAAAACAGAAAATAGTTAAAGAGGTTTGACAAGGCTTCTAAAGTAAATTAGATCTAAACACAATGTAAACTTAATTTAAAAAATAAACAAGTTGAACCAATATTAGTTGCCTATATCAATAGTCTTTCGTTTTTTTATCTATATCTATGTATATATACGTCTATGATTATTTGTTTATTTATCACAAATCATTAGAATTTTTTCAGTACCATAATTTGTGTAAAACAAATTAAAAATTAAATTTTTCACATAGTTATGTTGTTAATGGCAACTCTGCCAATTGTATAAAACTACTTTAAATACACTATAGTATACCTTGTATGGTCTCTTTAAATCCGGCTGTTTGTACCTAAGCCACAAAAGAGCAGCTATTGTTGCCCCATAAAACGTCCATGCTGCAAAATTAAAATAGTTTAAGAGGCTGCTGAAGTTTGATGATTCCGGAATCAACATAAGAATGCCGATTCCACACTAAATTAAAATATGTATTCTTAATTTCATCAAGGTTATCAGTAATACTTAAAAATATATAGGTATATACTTTAGTATTCATTTAAATTAACTAAAAATTAATTAAAATAAACTAAAATTACCGTAAAAACTAGAGCAGGTACTGGTGTGTGCCTTTTAGTATGCACCATTGCTAATAAAATTGGCATATGTCCTTCTCTAGCAGAAACATATACTAACCTAAAGTATAAATAAAGTTTTAATTTTGGGTGCAAAAATATATATTTTTTTAATTTTTGAAAAGTTTACTCAAATAATAAACTTTCTTTAAATGACATTAGTATATCAGAACAAGTAAAGTATTTTTTTTTCAATAGCTATTTTAAATACATTAATAAAAGCAGAAAAATAATTAGTTAACCACCTGCCACTTGTAAACGCCGAACCATTTGCGGCTCCAAAAGTAGAGCACGCTACAAAAACCGGAATTATCCACGCCATAACTCCATAAAGCTGATGAGCAAGAGTCTAAAGTTGTGATATTTAAAGGAAATCAAATAAAGATGAAAAAAAATGCTTTACTTAATTGAGTAATATTATTCAACACAAAATCAAATTTTATTAGTTAAGCAAAGTTCTTGTCGTGCTTAAGTAATGTTGTAATAGCAGTTTTTAAGCGACTAGGTTGCCTAAAAATACTATGTTCAGTTTTGTACAGATATAGTAAAAAAAACTTGGTTCAATAATGTAAACAAATGAAATAATTATTTCTAACACGCTTTTTTTTTACTGGCGTTGTTTTTTTTTAAAAACACAAAGGTTATAGGAAATTATTCCTCCTTGCGTTTAAAATTAAAGTTCAACAATATTTTAAACAACTCATTTAAATAAAAAAATAAAAAACCTATGATTTACCACAGCAACAGCGTTTGAACTTGCTATTTCTGCTGATGTCAGTACTGTTAGATAAGCAATATTAACCATTACGTAGCATCCTGTCACCAACGGAATTCCAATCATAATAGCTAGAGGAAGATCACGTGTTGGATTTTTTAATTCTTCAGTTACATAGTTCAAGTTATTCCAACCATCATACGCCCACAAACCGCCATAAAATGCATAACCGATATCCGAAATACTTTCACTTGTTCCTTCAAACGCGTTTGTAAAACTTCCATTGAAGCCTACATTAAAACTGCATAATTAAAAAACAATAGTTAAAGGAAATGATACTTTTCTATAAAATGGTCACCTTGCCCCAATCGAACGAGTCCAGTAATAATAAGAATAAGTATTGCGATGAGTTTAGCCGCAGTAAATATAACTTGAATAGTTGTAGCCCATCGCACACTGGAACAATTTACGAAGACTATTATGCCTATTCAAAAAATATGATAATTTTTAATAAAGTTAACTTTTATAATACTTCAATAAATTTATATAATTTTTTTTTTAATAATTTATATACATATTTTGTAATTTATAATAAATATAACAAAGTGAGAGTAAATAATTTTCTTTTAAAAATGCACCGATTCCGCAAGCTGCAACCATTTTCATCAGATAAGTATGCTCTGTTTGACAACCAGGAAAAAAAGGTTCTAAAACGTAATTTGCAAACGCCATGGCAACTCCAGCAATTGAAGCCGGTTTTACAATTAAAATTGCTGTCCAACTATATAAAAACCCTGCTAAGTCACCAAATGCTAACGATAAGTAAGTTTTTTCTCCACCAGAAGCATGTACGGCTGTGCCTAACTCAGCATAACACAGTGATGCCAATATGCATATAAAACCACATCCTGCCCAAGAAACAAGACTCATTCCAACGCTTCCTGCATTTTTAAAAACAACTGAAGGAGAAGCAAAAATTCCACTTCCTATCATGACTCCAACAACTAAGGACAAACATCCAGCAAATCCGACTTCACGACGAAGTCCAACTTTAGAACCGTCGTCGCTTCCGAGAGATGAGTTTTCGCCACATTCTTCATCTTCGTTATAATTCTCTCCAAACGGATCAAGTTCTAAATGTTGTGAAAACAACGGACTTTGAAGACACCGTTCTTCAGGAGACGATGTGGCTATGGTATTCTCATCGGAGTTTTTAATACTATCCATTGGTTTATAGATTATTTTCTTTTATATAAGTATTTTCTATATATAAAGTTCAATCTCTTTATTCTATTATATTTATATACACATAATAATCTCTATAAACCGCTTTAAACTTTTTTTAACCGTAAAGATGTGGTTATAATAAATCAAACATGAGTTTATTTTGTTGCGTCGCAATGCTTGTTTTTGGCAATAAAAAATCAAAAGTAAGATTGTTAAACTATACTTTATAATTAACTATGCAATTGCTTTGTTTAATGTACCAAGTTATTAGTCGAAATCTGTCATTGAATTGTATTTAATATCAAATTCAATGAAAATGAACAGCGAACTCTTTTATACAATTTAATACAGGTGAAATGTGCTTTTTACTAATACTCGTCATAATGAATAGATTGGTAACTAAGTTTAAGCGCCCATACAATACTATAGACTATAATCATATGGTTTTTACGATTTGTTTTTAAGCTGATTTAATAAAGATATTGAAAGATTGAATAAAAAGTAAATAATTAATCGGAACGCTTATTTTTTTTCGTACCAGTCTCCTCTATTGAAAACGAATCTGAAAAAAAAGCTGGAAGTTACTAAAAATGTCATCATTTACACTAAAAAAAAAAACTTTATCATTTTACTTTTTCATATCACACTCGGATTTTTCACATGTATACACATTTTCACTCGGATACTTTTGACACAAATTTTTTTAAAAATGCAATTACTTTTTTTAATGCAATTACAAGAAAAAATTGAAGTAAAAAATCAGAGTAAAAATTAAAAAAAAAATTAAAATAGTTTAAAGAATGCATTTAAGTGCACGTGCCAAAATACCTTTTTTTTTGTAGATAATTCTTTTGTTTTAGTAAGCTCTGAAATTGGCTATTCAATTTTTCAAGTATTCATCATTTTTGCTTAGTTTTAATTTTTTTTTTCGTGTGTTCTTTTTTATGAGAAAAAAAAAAAATTCATTAATTTTTTTTTTTAATTTTTTTTATTCTTCTTACACTTAAACGTAGTCTGGCTTCAGCGTTTGAGTAATTTTTGCGCACGCAAAAAATTTTTTTGTAAAATCATTTTGATCTTTAGTAAAATTTGATCTTTAAGTATGTTTTTTTTATTTTTATTTTGAAAAGTAACTTTTTTAAATAGTTTATTTGAAGTTAATTGGCGTATGTAAAATCGAGAGTAAGATTAAATTAGAGTTACCCTGGAAAATGCTATGAATAAATACAAATAATACAAATCAAAAAAACTAATTATAATTCAAATAATTTTCAGTAAATTTTCAGGCGCGAAGACGCGTAAAATTTTAATAGACAAAAGGCTTTTATTTAAAATACTCAGTGGCGTAGCAAAGGCGCGTTAACCAAGGCGCCTTTGCTACGCCAAAATTTTAAAACTTATTTGTTTTGCATCTCTATCTGATTACCATAACGCAGTAACTTTTTGTTTTTAATTTTGTTTTCAAAGACAATTTGTTTTCAGAGCCGATCACACCGGGGAAGCTGGGTGGTCACGTGACCCCTCCCCCTTACACACATTTTTTCTAAACGACTTTTTTTTCTTTTTTTTTTTTTTAAAAAAAAAAAAGAAAACTATAGATATAGAGGACTTTTTTTAAAAACTGACGATTGCGCTCTCTCCAATTTGAAACCCGTGTCGACGGCCCTGGTTTTAAAATGTACCAAACTAGTTATTACAATGCGAAATAATTTCTGCAACTTCTTTAACTGCAACGACTTTGCAAATTGCGCGTTTCTCTTTGATAGTGAAAATTAAAGACAAAACAAAAATTTAATATAACTAATGAATTTACGAGAAAAAGGTTTTAAAATGATTAAAAAAACAAAAGGTTATATAATTTTGAAATAATGTTTTCTGTTTTGCCAGTTATGTGGAACGAGTTGAAAATGTGCACACCTTACTGGCGTCTAGATGCGCATAATGGAAATCAACGGAAAAGCAAAAGTTCTTACTGGTTTTTATATTATTTATTTATTTTGCCGTTGATAAATATTACAAAAAAGAAATTACAACAAAAGAAAATCCTGGCCGGAGCAAGAAGCAAGACAGGTTGTCTTATCACCGAGCCCCGTCACACAAAAATTTACATGCACAAATGATAAAAGATAAAAAGACAGTATAAATACAAAAACAAAAACAAATCAAAAACTTCAGCAATAATTAATTTGTTGCTAACAATCTTCCAGCAGAATAATTTTAAATAAAATTAAAAATTAAAAACGACATAAAATCATGAAAGTTTTAAAAACACAAAAAAAAATGCGTCAATTAATTAAAAAAAAAAAGCAATATATGTAAACATAAGTATTTGAGCTGACTATTTAATATAATCAAAAATAGTTATCTTTTATACTAATGGTTTGAAACCATTTTAATAAAAGCCAAAGAAAGTGATAAAGATTTAATTTATTTTTAAGTGATTTAGTTTAAACCTTTAAATTGTTTTCAAAAAAGGTATTTGAAATCTATTATATCGAATTCCATGTTCAGTAAGTGCCGTTTTGAATCATCCTTAAAACTTTACAAAGTGCAGTTTAAAACGAAGTTTTGAATAGGATAAATTTTGCTTTCTCTACATTTAATGATAGTCGGTTACTTATAAACCACTCGTTGATCTTATCTAATTCTTCGTAAAATATTTTAAAAAGAACAGTAATATCTTTGTGAGAATAAAACAAATTAGTGTCATATGCAAATAAGATAGTATTTAATACTTTTGATGATAAATATAAGTCATTTAAATAAAGTAAAAACAATAATGGTCCCAAAATAGAACCTTTGGGTACTCCACAAGTTATTAAGTTGTTTTTTGAGTCTTTTGATTCTTTAAGTATAAATTGCTTTCTGTTAGTTAAGTATGATTTAAACCAAAGTAAACTTTGATTTCACCATAGTTTTCTAATTTTTTCAAAAGAATTTCATGATTTACTGTGTCGAAAGCTTTGGATAAATCAATAAAAAACCCTATTGTATAGCAATCGCCATTAAATCCATTTGATATATGCTTAACCAATTCAATTATTGCATGGTCAGTAGAATGATTTTTTTTTAAACCGTATTGATCATTATATAAAATCTTATTTTCAGATAGATATTTATAAAGTCTGTTGTACATAATGCGTTCAATTAGTTTAGAAAAGCAGGGTAAGACTGAGATTGGTCTGTAGGTTGAAATATTGGTCTCATCGCCAGATTTGAAAATAGGTGTTATTTTTGCAATTTTTAGTTTATCTGGAATAAAACCTGATTTAAGGGAAAGATTAAAAATATGGAATAATCAAGGTTCGATAATATCAAAAACAGATTTAATTTCATTAACATTTATTTGATCTATACCTGCACTTTTATTTTTTTTCAGACTATTAAAAGCATTATGTAGTTCACTTTTGGTTAAAATCGGTTCTTCCATAATTAAATCAGTTGCTGCAAGATATGAATCAAATTTTTTTTGACTGATTGGAATTTTCGCTGCTAGGTTTGGGCCAACATAAATAAAAAAATTGTTTAATTTCTCAATAATAACTTCTTTATGATAAATCATTTTTTCCTCAATAATAAGTTTTTGCGGTAAGTTATTTTTTTCTATTTTATTTTTCCCAATTAAGTCTCTAATAACACTCCACGTTTTTTAAGGGTTTCCTTTGTTTTTTTCAAGCAGTTTAGCATAGTAATTTATTTTTGATCGCTTTTTAGTTTTTTCAAATAAACTTTTATAATTTTTGTAATTAGTTTCATTTTTATAAGTTTTATTTTTTAAATGTTTATTATACAATTTCCTTGATGATTTTAATAGTCCTTTGGTCAATACAATTTCCTTGATGATTTTAGTAGTCCTTTGGTCATCCATAGGGATACAACCGACTTTGAATTTATTACTTTCACTTTTAAAGGAAATGCCTTATCAAACATTTTAGAAAATTGGTTTAGAAATAAATCATAAGCATTATTTACATCGTGTGATTGCAGTACAAGATTCCAATCGACGTAATTATTTAATAAACTTTTAAATTGGCATATGAAACTTTCATTGATTTGTCTCATGAATACTTTTGATTTGTGGGTAGCATTATTTAGAGTAACGCTCTCAGTAATAAGGAATATAGGTTAATGATTAGTTAAATCAGTCTTGATTATACCAGTTTTAAAACGGCTATTATGAAAATTGTTAGTAATAACATTATCTAATAATGTCGATGATTTTTTAGTTACTTTTGTTGCTTTGTTTATAGTTGGGATAAGGTTGTATTCGAGAAGAATATTAATAAAAGTTTTTGCTTCACTATTTAAGGCATGGTTGAGTAAGTCAATGTTGGTATCCCCAACTACGTAAACATGCTTTTGCAATATATTTTTTGTATTTAGAAATGTGCTCAGATAAGTTTTGAACGTTTTTAAACTACCAGCTGGTTCAAACCATTCACTAAAGTTAACAGGTGTGAAAAGAACTGCTGTAAATTCTGTTACATTTTTTGTTACTATTAAGCTGTTATTAACAACTTTTTTTTCCTTGACTCATGCTAGATTGTTTTGACCACCGTCACTGATCAAAGTGTAAAGCGCATAATGGAAACACGATACAGCCTTTGAGATTTTTGAATTATCTCCATGTAAGGGAACATTGCTCAAAAATTTTAAAAGTTGTGAAGCAATTAACTTGTGAGAAAAACAGATGTATTAGATCAAATGCTGGGGTACCGTTGGTTGAGTTGCGGTCATTTTTGTTTTTGCGCTTTTACGGATTGTTGGAGTTGGTTCTATGGGAAATAAATGATCACAGATCTACCTCCAAACAAAAGAATTGAACATAAAACCTTGTGATATCAAACTAAAAGCTTTAAAATTATTTTAAACAGAGAATGTAATTAGTTAATAAAGTAATTGTTTATGCAAAAAAAATTTGTGATAATCTGGACACAATCGTGTGATAATCTGGACAATTGTGATAATCTGGTCACAATCATGTATCGTTGATGTATAAAAAAGAAACAGATAGCAGGAGAAGAATAACATGATGATGCATTGTCATATAAAAATGAAATGAGAAGAGAAATTTCCGACATTGAAAAGCTTCTTGATTTGGCTGAAAAAAATGCCGCTCTTACTCCATCAAATCTTCTGAACAATAGAGAAGCGCGGCGCAGTGAATAGAGGATTTGCTCTAAAAACAAGAAATCCAAGTTCAAAGCGATTTCTGGGAACATTTTGCGTTATTGGTAAGGAAAGAGGCTTCTTCCTGGTTAAATGCTCTTGCGACGCTCAAGACCGTTAAGACCTTGGGGCACCAAAAGTTAAATTAAAAGTTAAAAAATATGAATTTTAACTTCTGGGTCATGATCATGACAAAATTAATAAAGAAGAGTTACTCCTTGAAAGAAAAAGCTTTAGGCTATTTTCAGTATTATTCATCTTGCGTAAGACTCGTTTTTTATGGGTTTATTAAAGAGGGATCTCTAAAAAAACGTCCGCTCTAAATAAATTTTTATTAGATCGTCATTAAAACAAATTTTTTAAAAATAAAAAGTAATTTACAACTTGATTGCGATTCGATTAAGGGGCCTTTGAAAAATAATTGCTTGCATTAACCTCTCAGCAGAATAAACTTAAAAACACAATATTTTTTTTTATTTACACTTATTTTTTATTTACACTTATGCCAATAAGAAAAAAAAAATTTACAGTCGTAACTTATAAAAAATAATTACACGACCGGGGCAAGAAGGAGCCAAATTTAGTCTTAAATTCACCAAAAAATGCGTCATTACTAGATAAAATATATGTTAATAATAAAAAAGAAAATGTAAATATATCGCTTTGCGTTTAAAATTTATAGTTTTTCAAAGAATAAGATTTAAAATTGTTTTATAAAATAAAAGTAACAAAATTTAATAAAATATTAAAATAACAAAAATAACATTTAAGAATTGGTTTGAAAAAATAAGAAGATATGATTTTACATTAAACACATATTATTGTTAGAGCAATTAA